TAGTTTCTAGGCAGTTCAGAAAGCAACGTTTGGCACTCTGCTGCCGGCCGCGGGCCCGCTCCGTCCTTCACTGCCATGGTGTTTGAGCCCTGCGGGGGTCCCTTGACCGGAGCCGTGCAGCACAAAAGCCAGCTGCAAGACGACGCAGGCAAGTTGGCAGTTTGCAGAGCAGGAGGGCAAGTAAAAGCAAGGTTTGAAGCCAGTTTCTAGGCAGTTCAGAAAGCAACGTTTGGCACTCTGGGCTGCCGGCCGCGGGCCCGCTCCGTCCTTCACTGCCATGGTGTTTGAGCCCTGCGAGGGGGTCCCTTGACCGGAGCCGTGCAGCACAAAAGTCAGCTGCAAGACGACGCAGGCAAGTTCGCAGTTGGCAGAGCAGGAGGGCAAGTAAAAGCAAGGTTTGAAGCCAGTTTCTAGGCAGTTCAGAAAGCAACGTTTGGCACTCTGGGCTGCCGGCCGCAACGCCGCTCCGTCCATCATATGGTCTGCGGGGGGTCCCTTGACCGAAGCCATGCAGCACAAAAGCCAGCTGCAAGACGACGCAGGCAAGTTGGCAGCTGGCACAGCAGGAGGGCAAGTAAAAGCAAGGTTAGAAGCTAGTTTCTAGGCAGTTCAGAAAGCAACGTTTGGCACTCTGGGCTGCCGGCCGCGGGCCCGCTCCGTCCTTCACTGCCATGGTGTTTGACCCTTGCGAGGGAGTCCCTTGACCGAAGCTGTGCAGCACAAAAGCCAGCTGCAAGACGACGCAGGCAAGTTGGCAGCTGGCAGAGCAGGAGGGCAAGTAAAAGCAAGGTTTGAAGCTAGTTTCTAGGCAGTTCAGAAAGCAACGTTTGGCACTCTGGGCTGCCGGCCGCGGGCCCGCTCCGTCCTTCACTGCCATGGTGTTTGTCAATATCTCAATGGTCAAACTGTGTACGAAGGGTCCCTCTCTTTCTGGCCAGGTACGAGAAGGTGACTTGTATCCCTAACGGTCTCTGGGGTCGGCGGCAGGGGGCGTAGCCCTTCTATTATTATCATTATTATTATTACCAGTAGTACCGCACAAGGTGGTGGCGGAAGTTTCAAAAATAGGAAACCTATAGGAGAGGTTGGTTGTTGTGAATCAGGGATGGCAGAGCGAAGCCACTGATGGACTGAAAGGTGCTTGAGGTCTCCTCTTTTTCTCTCTCTTTCTCTGACTATCTACCTACCTACCTATCTATTTTCTATGTATCTATCTATCTGTCGATCTAGCTATCTATCTCTCTCTTTCTCTCTTTCATCTCATTACCTATCTACCTATCTACCTATCTACCTATCTACCTATCTACCTATCTACCTATCTACCTATCTACCTATCTACCTATCTATCTATCTAGCTATCTATCTAATCTATCTATCTATCTATCTCTCTCTCTCTCTTCATCTTTCTATATCATCTATCTATCTATCTATCTATCTATCTTATCTATCTATCTATCTATCTATCTATCTATCTATCTATTCTCTATCTATCTCTCTCTCTCATCTTCTCAATCTGTCTATCTGTCTATCTGTCTAGCTTGTCTACCTGTCTATCTATCTATCTGTCTGTCTGTCTGTCTGTCTATCTGTCTACCTGTCTATCTGTGGTGCAGTGTCATTCAGTGTAATGTAGTGTAGTGTAATGTAGTGTAGTGTAGTGGAGCGTAGTGGAATGTAGTGTAGTGTAGTGTAGTGTACTGTTGTGTAGTGTAGTGTAATTTAGTGTAATGGAGTGTAGTGGAGTGTAGTTGTGTAGTCGTAGTTGTAGTTCTAGTGTAGTGGAGTGTAGTGGGGTGTAATGTAGTGAAGTGTAGTGGAAGGTAGTGTAGTGTAGTGTAATGTAGTGTAATGTAGTGTAGTGTAATTTAGTGTAGTGTAATTTAGTGTAGTGGAGTGTAGTGGAGTGTAGTGGAGTGTAGTTGTGTAGTTCTGTAGTTGTAGTTGTAGTGTTGTGGAGTGTAGTGTAGTGTATATAATGTACTGTAGGGTACTGGAGTGTATAGTGTAGTGTAGTGACCCGAAGCGAAGCGAAGCGACATCTGAACCTTTTTCGACATCTGAACTTCCAAAAGTGGTCCGAACCCCTAGTGTTTTTAACATTTTGACTTCCAAATGTGCTTCGCGCCACAACGGCGTGCACTTTTTCCACATCTCAACTGCCAAAAGTGGCCCGGACCTGGTGTGCTTTGTACATTTTGACTTGGAAATGTGCTTCGCGCCACAACGGCGTGCACTTTTTGGACATCTCAACTTCCAAAAGTGGTCCGAGAATGGTGTGCTTTGTACATTTTCACTTCGAAATGTTCTTCGCGCCACAATGGCGTGCACTTTTTCGACATCGCCGCGTCCAAAAGTGCTCCGACCATGGTGTGCTTTGTACATTTTGACTTGCAAATGTGCTTCGCGCCACAACGGCGTGCAATTTTTCATCTCTCATCTGGCCAGCTGGCTCCGCACCCGCCGCTTTAGCGAGCCTACTTTTCGACCCTCCGGAGCCCCAAATCATTGGAAAAACACAGTGTTTCGCGACTTTCCTACCTTTTCACGCATCTGCATCTTCTTTCTTCTTACTCTTCTTTCTTCTAATCTTTCTCTTCTCTATGCCTCTTCCCTGCTCTGCTTTTCATCTGTCCATATTGTCGGAAGTTTGACTTCTAAACTTCCTTCGGTTATTATCATCATTATTATTCATTATTATTAGGGGTAATGGGCTGATCCAATTGGTAGTCATACCCAAGATATCCGAATACGAGTAATATACCTATTCCGATTCAGGGTGCAGCTGAGGGCAGCACAAGCCCTGACCCACAGGTGCCATGCCAATGGCTGTGAACATCCTTGGTGGTTGGTGGTTCCAACCCTGCAGCAAAGTAAGAAAGTCAGTCAAGTAGGTTGGATGAAAAACAAAAGATTGTCAGGGTTGGTCATTCCCAACTTGACTAGTAATTCCCTAATGTCATACCCTTTGTTCGGATGAACATCGATAAACAATATACTTGAAAGAAACCACAAACTAGAGACTTATTGGGATTGAAACTGATGGCGGATGACTGGTAGTTGGCCAGTTGGGCTGTTGATTGATATGGTTATTGTACAAGTGGGAATTACAGTATACACCTGGCAAAATCATACTAAACTTTTGCCTGATGAAAGAATGAGCAATGATGAAGGAGCAAATGCTCCCTGGGAAATCTTGCGGGTGGGACTCTATAGGACATTGTTTGATGTTTGCAAACTAATTTCGATAACACACAAAGAGGGACTGGAACTATAGACAACTAGACTATATCACAAGACGACCACTTATGCCCATGAAGTCTCAAAAAGTGAGGCTTTGTCATATGCAGGTCAATCCTGTCCCCTGTCCCCAGTCTGCTTGGTTCAGTTTGGCACACGCACTCAAGCAGGGGATGGGAAGCATCCAAAAACCATTGCTACCTGATCCCCTCTTTATCAATGTTGGAAATCATATCATGGTGTGTGGCGACCCAAGTCATTCCATTTGGTTCTGTCCTAGTCAAATGCTTCTTTAATACTCCAGAATCTGATGCATGTGCATGATGGGCCCATATCTGGCACGCCGGCCAACATGACAGAACTTTACCTGCAACCTTTTGCAGAAATTCACAGCTGCAAATCACAAGCTGCTTAACGAGATGGACCCGCAAGCAAAGTTGGAAAGACCGCTTGGCAAAAGCACTTCTTCCAGCTTGTTGAAATCGCGGCCAAATCCTAAGCTCTGAAGACCCATTGGCAGCATCACTCCTTGCAGGCTCTGGCTAAAAATTCGCCCAAACTTTAAGCTTTGAAGACCGCTTGGCAAGGTCACTCCTTCTAGGCTGCGGTTGAACCACGTGCCAAATGTTAAGCTCTGAAGCCCGCTTGGCAAGGTCACACTTTCTAGCGTCTGGTCGAAATTGGCTCCAAAGGTTAAATTCTGAAGACTAGATGGCAAACTCACTCCTGCCAGGCTCTTGTCAAAATCCTGACCAAATGTTAAGCTCTGAAGCCCGCTTGGCAAAGTCACTCCTTCGAGCCCCTGGTTGAAAAGGGTGCCAAATGTCAAGCTCTTGAGACAACTTGGCAAGGTCATACCTTCCAACCTTTGATCAAAATTGTTGCCAAATGTCAAGCTCTGAAGACCAGGTGGCCAGACCAATGCGTCCAGCCTCTGGTCGAAACAATTACCAAGCGTCAAGCTCTGAAGGCCAGTTGGCAAGATCACTCCTTCCAGCCTCTGGTTGAAATTGTGGCCGAATGTCAAGTTCTTCAGACTGCTTGGAAAAGTCACGCCTTCCAGCCTTTTGTTGAAAAACGGGCCAAGTGTCAAGCTCTGAAGATTGGTCACTCCTTCCAAGCTCTGGGTGTTCCGCACACCAAATGTGAAGCTCTTAAGACCGCTTGGCAAGGTGACTTCTTCCGGTCTCTGGTCGAAACAATCACCAAGTACCAAGCTCTGAAGGCCACCTGGCAAGGTCGTCAGTCTCCGGTTGAAATGTTGCCCAAATATCAAGCTCTGAAGTCCCGCTGGCAAGGTCTCCTTTTTCACTTCCTGGTTGAAACACGTACCGAAACTTAAATTCTGAAGACCAGGTGGCAAGGTCACTCCTTCCAGCTTCTGGTTGAAACGCGCCCCAAATATCAAGCTTTGAAGACCACTTGGCAAGGTCACTTCTTCAAGCCCCTGGTTGAAACAAGCGCCAAAGGTCAAGCTCTGGAGGTAACTTGGCAGGGGCACACCTTCCATCCTCTGGTTGAAATTGTGTCCAAAGGTTAAATTCTGAAGACTAGATGGCAAACTCACTCCTGCCAGGCTCTGGTCAAAATTTCGCCCAAATGTTAAGCTCTGAAGACCCGCTGGCAGGGTCACTCCTTCCAGGCTCTGATCGAATGCTTCCCCAAATTTCAAGCACTGAAGACCGCTTGGCAAGGTTGCTTCTTTCAGGCACTGGTTGAATTGATGTCCAAAAGCAAGGGTTTCAAGACTGCGGGGGAAATCTTTCATACATTCAGTTGAGTTTGTACCTGATATTATCGTCACTCCCTCTAGTGCAAGCTCTCCGTCCAAGACTTGAGATCCTGAGATATAACACCATGCTGCGTACAAATTGGCCGGAACAAACGTGCAAGAAAGTGTTGCAGCCATACCTTCAATGCCTTGCTCTTGCAATGTTTGGTCAAGCACCAGCGGCAAGTTCATGTGGTGCAGTTTCAATCTTCTCCCCTTCTTTGAAGGAAGTTGGTGTGATACCGTTCGGTGCACTTCCCGACCCAGAGTGGAACCACGGAGACGAAGCTTACATTCTTCACCATTAAGGCAAACGACGTCAATGTCAATCATATCGGGGTCACTCATTGACTCTACAGAGCCACTAGCAGCACAGGCGGACATTGTCTTAATTACCGAAGACAGTTGTCTATGAAGGGGAGCAGTTAATTGCCACCGTTTGCTCAGGTCGTGATGTGTGTACATGTGCAGGATACATTGCAAGCTGTTGTCTTTGCAAACGCTGCAAATATGTTGTTTTCTGTACATGCAGACAAGAAACTGAATTACATGTAATTTATGTATTCCAAATTGCCAGGGATGGTGTTCCTTCTTGCGATGCGGGTTGATCCTGCCATTCCCCTGCTCTTCCTGCTCTTGAGCCTGGTGCTGCAACAATCAGGATGCTGGTTCTAGAACTGGACACTTTTTCCGAGCTACCTTCCAGTAACCCAACGGGGCAATGGAAGACTGAAACTTGTCCGTAATATATATATATCCCATAGTATATATGTATAATATGGAGGTTTCTTACATAAAATGGTGGTACGAGTACCCCAACATGGATGGTTTATAATGGAAAATCCGAAACATTTCAGGAAACCTCTGAGGTCCTGGCTGCTCGATCCCTGCAGGAATCAAGGAGCTGCCACCCGCAGTACTCACAACACCTGGGCCGACCGCTGGCAAGTCGTATCTGGAGGTCACCCAGTTAGTGGGAGAATAAGGGAAAAATATGGAATCATATGGAACAATATGGGAGAATATGATTATATAATATGGTATAATATGGGAGAATAGTGGGAGAATAGTGGGAGAATAATAGATAATTCTGGGATAATTAGTTTGAACAAGCCATCCAAAATGGCTGCTGACATGTCTAGTACATGTGCGATCATTTGAGTATCTTACTGTACACAATCTGAGATTTTGATGCGACTTTTGTAAAACAGGCCTTGCCGCAACTCGTTGTAATTAGCTATCCAACTCAAGGAACTGGTAGATGACCCTCTTTTGGGAGTATTCATCAAATTTCATAAACCTATTTGAGGACTCATTTGTCACTGGTAGGGGACCATGGGGACCATCACTTTCGGTGCTGCTTTTTTCCTTCTCCAAAATCCGAGGTGCCGAGGGTTTTGTTCTGTGCGTGGACCGGAAGCAGTTGCACTCGTTAAGCGTTAGCTTGGGTCTTTTTTTGCTCTAGAATCCTGTGTTTTCAACGTTTTTCAAAAGGGTTATAAAGTCGGTTAAGTTCCCAACTATAGCCCCTCAACATGGGCCCAACATAGCGCCAAGATAGTCTCAAAATAGGTCCAAATGGCATAACATTGGCTGAACATAGCCTCCAAATCCGCTCCCCTTCAAATCAACATGCAGTAGATCTTTCATACTTCAAGTTGATTGAGGGGAAAAAAAAGAGGCTTGAGTTTTTACCGCTTCCCTGTTGCGACAGTCAGGGTATGTCAATTAGGGTGTATTGTGTTCCCATAATGCCCATATTGAGCCCATTTTGGGTTAATGTTCGATATCTTTGCAATTTGTTTGGCGAAAATGCTGAAGTGAGCTTGCATTGGGCCACGTAAGAATTCTTGTTGGGCCCAAATCCATGTTTGAATTCAGTTTGGGGTCAATTTGGCTCGGTTCGCACCCTTCTCCTCACATCAACAATAGCATGCAAAATAAAACACAACAAAAAACGCAAAACAGAGTTTTTTGCCGAAGACATCAAACAGGTCAAACTTAGGGTCAAAATGGGTCCAGCATGGACCTGACACTGGGTATAGCCTCATCATAGGCTAAACGCCAAAAATTGCCCCAACGCCAATGAGCCCAACGGCCAAAACCAATCGCACGGTAGTCACAATAGGATTTCTAGGATCTTGGAACTTTGTAAAGTCTAGATCTAGGAGATGAATAGAGATGAGTTTTTTGATATAGGACTCTCGAGCTGCACACGCCCAGCTTACGTATGGAAAACATGTGTACCATAATCATAGCCGCCAGCAGGCCTTGAACACGCTATTGCACTGGGTTCTTGCAGCAACTGCATTCGTTCCGCAAAAACAAATGAGTAAGAACACTAGAACTTTTGTGGTCTCACAGAGTTTAAAAGATCAAAACGCTACAAACTGGTTTTATTTTGATTTAGTCCTTTCTGACAGAGCGCACAGGTTCAACTCTGGGTCGGTGGTCTCAACCCATCACATATTGGTCACCCATTAGGGCAATCATCCCAGGCTCGCCAATTCTGTATCATTTGATGCCCAGATCAAATGATAATGCGACACTTGGGACATTGTTTGCCTCCCAGTATGATTACGTCATTTTGTGTCTCAATTCTTGCACTTGTTGGCGTCCCCAGAATAATATACATGGTCGACCCAAATCGGTGTACTTTCACAAGAGCCCCAAAGTACTCCAAAGCATCCCAAAATGCTCCCAAAATGCTCACCTTAACCCAGAATATGTTGGGTTGCTCGGCTTCAACTCACACCGACAAATGATACCGGCACTTCAGGCCCGTACTGTAACCCCCAGAAGCACTTCCACCTCCGCTCACGACCTGGTGATGCATGGCCAAAAAAGCAGTGGGGACACGACCAGTTTCACCAGGATTCTTTGCATGTCAAGATTTGTACCTCAGACACGAGACCTGTTTGATCGTTGAGCCAACCATACTAAACACACTACAGCCACTTGGCCCCCGTGCCGCTAAACGTCGCTTGTCCCGGTGTCGGGCACCACCGGTGATGCCCGAAAAGCACTCGATCCTCAGGCACGACCCCGAGCAAAAGGGGTGAAAGATCTTTAGTATTCTTTAGTTTGAATTGCACAGCATCACTGAGATATGTATCCTGGTGATGATGCCGGTGGTGATGGTGATGCTGATGATGCTGATGATGCTGATGATGATGATGATGATGATGATGATGTCTCTACGATGGGCAGCGGGTGGGATGGTTGCTTCAAGTAGTTGCCTCTTTTTAACAGCAATCAGCTTGGGACTTCTGGCCAGTGCCAAGTTTGAAATGATGAAAAATATTAATATATATATATACATGTATACATGATATACAGTAATCAGCTCTGGGTCAAAGTACAGTATATGGTTCCCTTCCTACACATCTCTAAGCAACTAGGAGTTATTTCCAAGGGAAAGCTGATAGCGGCAATGCTTGGGCTACCTGCTGCTTGGATGGCTGCATGACATAGAAGTCATAGTCCGGCAGGTCATTCCAAACATAGAACCTCCGGGATTCTGGGAACCTAGTGTGGTCATTGGTCGTTGGTGATTCCGACACATTCAGATGTATCATATATATATATTTATATTATATTATATTTATATACTTAAATATCAATATCATGTCTGTAGATGTGTAGAAAGAGAGAGAGAGATTTTAATAGATTTATATATATATATCATTATATATATATATCATTATATATATACACAGTGTGTATGTATATATATATATATCTTTGTGTGTGTGAGTGTGTGTGTGTATGCCCTTTGGCATTTCATCAAAGTTGGGGGGAAAAAGGCAACGAGATCTGTGATGATCTGTGCATCCCATGGGCCACCCTTCAGTGCACGTGCGGGAGGTCCCCCGGTCCCGGAACTTCAGGTAGTCCTCAGTGGTGGCCAAAAAAGAAATGGCTTAGACTTGAGGGATCTTTTGCGGCGATTGCCTAGTCTTGACAGGTCCTCAAATCGGAGAATCCCTCGTTTCATGGTACTCATATGGGTATGGATCAATACCTATTAATACCATTTTTAGTGGGATGAACATCCATTTACCAGCTATTTTGATGTTCACCAGGGGTACAAGGTTTTGACACACTGCCATATAAAGCACAGAAATTTGAGCGTTTTTAGTGATAAATCTCTGATCAGTAGGAGCAAATACCCCAGCCGATGGTTATGGGGGAAAAAGTGGGAAAGACGCGAAAAACAGGGAAATGCATGGATATCCGGATTCAGCAACGACGACCAGCCAGCCATTAAATTTCTTGCTGATAAAGTCATGGATCACTTCCATGGCGCAGAAAATCGTTCACTTGGCCGATGGATCCTGCATGGATCAGCCACGCAGAAAGCATGCTCTACATGGCCAATCTAAGATAATCACCCTGCATCTGTTTCGAGATTTTATCTGTTTAGTACATATCCCCATTTATAGCAAAAGATTGTAAAGTACAAGGAAGATTGTAAGATTTACCTTGTAAAGATTTTTTATTAATTTCCCAATGGGACTCTCGTCAAACTGAAGCTGGGCACAAAAGATGGCCCTTTAGCTTTTTTTTTAGGTCACCTCTCATTCCTGCTACCCAAACGTTACCCTGAGTCATTGCTGGTATAGCTGGTATAGCTGCTGATTCTCCCATGATGAGGAATCGGCTGGCAATGGGAACCCCATCCTTCCCATATTTTTTCGATGCGTCCATGGCCGGGTTAGAATTTATAACAACAGGTAAGTGACCATATGCTTGCCATCATCTGTTTCACCTCAAGCGGCTTGCCGAGCCACTGAATTGCTGACGCTCATTTTGTAGCTATAACCTTGGACAAAGCTGTGGTGCATCTGAAGCTGGGGCCTCGAATCTCTGATTTCTGCGATCATTTCCCATGGTTTTCCCTATTAAACTACGTAGCCGTAGCCTTTTTGGGGTATGCATGGGTATGCCAGATTCTTGAACAATATACCTCCAATGGTGACGTGGTGAAAATCACACAAGCGGAGAAACTAGTAGAATGACAATCTTCTGGTATGCCTGAATATGTGCAAGGTGGTATCGTACTACGACAGGAATAGGATTGTCCACAGGGGTACATTGTCTTCTACCTACTTGGCCTACGTGGCTGCTTGCTGCCACCTGGGGCCCCAGACAATCGCCAGCATGACTCAGGGCAAATGCTGATGCAGCCTCAGTGGGAAGCGGTTCCAGTCTTCAGGGATCGTCCAGTGACGGGACGTGGCAACGTCATTAACATCATTGATCCAGAAAAAATGGGACGATTTCAGCAACAGCCCCAGCCATCCCCAGCCTCCATCACTGGGCTCTCCCACTGCATGCTGTGCATGCCGGGCACAGTCCATTGCATCCAGCGCTGCATCTGTGAGAAGATCCCCAGGCCTTAGGACGGTCCATTGCTCTCCGTGGTGCCCCGTTCGTTGGCTTTAGCGGCTAAGTTGGTGACTGATCCGGGGGGTTCCATAAAGGGGGAGTGCCCCAATAGCTGGATGGTTTATTTCATGGAAAATCCATCTATAAATGGATGATTTTGGGAAACCTCCATATAGCTAGGCTTTGTGGTAATTGGAACTATAATTCATGGGATGCACATAAACCAAGTAACAAAACTAGGGGCACCACCTTGACTAGATTCAACAATCCGAAAGATCCCACAGTGCCGTGCTTTGGCCGGCCGCCCCCGGGGTAACGTGCATGCCATATATCAAAATAGCTGCATGATGTTTTGCGTGCATTGAACGCGATAGAACCATGTCATGTAATTGATTACAGAATGAACAAGACAGATATAGATACGAGAACGAATATGCTATGCTATACATATTACATGTCCCATATATCTATACACGAAATGTCCACTGGCCACTGCGTAGCATCTTTTTCGTCTCCACCATCGATTCATGGTGGGCACCCATCAGTCCTCCAAGTCCCATTCTGGGCGAGCCAATGTCATCCAATGTTCGGCGCGCTGCTGGCTATCTCAGGATCGACTCGAAAGACTCGAAAGATGGAAGCCGAGACTCTCCAAATCTGGATCTATCTGGATCTACAGGATTTCCTTGATCTCTTTCTGTTTGATCTTATAGCATCCTTGAAGATTACTGTAGTTTTTTACCACCACCACCACCACCACCACCACGACCACCACCACGACCACCACGACGACCACCACGACGACCACCACGACGACCACCACCACCACCAAACAGCATGTTTCCCCTGATCTTTCAGGTGGCATCCTCTCCATCACTCTCCACTGCACTGGGTGTATGTTTGCCCAAGGTGATCTGTTCTCGCGACGCGCTGGGATTGATCTCGTCCGGAAGGTCGTTGGCAGTGCCGGCGTGCAGGTAGTAGAGCCAACCAGAGATCATCACCTGGATACTGGACCCTCAGGGGCCCAGGGGTAGGGTGGCCGCTTAAGATTGCTGGTTGGATCTGGTTGCTGGTTGAGCCAACCTAGATCCAAACAAATCTCACTTGGGATCATTATCCCAAATTAGGTTTTACAGTTTTGGCTGCACGGGAGATGTTTTAGCTGGAGAACATCAATCTGGGTTTCCGAGTTTCCATGGTTCGTCCCGAGCTGGACTTCCAAATTGTTGATTCGTTTGTAGTGGCCGAAGCGGTTTGATTCTCATCCCTTTTGAGGCGATTCCCATTCCGCTGATGCTTTACCCTCTCGATCTTCAACTTTGATGCATTTGATATCATTTGTTGATGGTTTGCCCAGCATTGCCCCGCACAGCTCCAAGTCACCCCCGGCGCAAAGACCAGGTAAGACGTGTGTCCTCCCAATGTATCGAACAGAACTCCTCCTCCCAGCAGTCCGATGATGGGCCCCAGGCCATGAAAACACGCTGTCAGCAGCCCTTGCGCGGATGCTTCCAAACCTTCACCTGACACAGAGATGTCACAGGATGAAATGCGATGAAAAACAATGAAATTGAAGGTCAGTTGAGGAAATTGGATGAAGGTGGCGATCTTTAGATGCTTCTTCGAGGCCAAGTTGATCCAATTTGAAGTCTCCATTGGAAACAACAGGTTGGGAATCCTACAGAAGATATGGATGCTTTATTCATCATATAGATTAGACAGTCTTGAGACATGACATGTGGTTGATATTCTTTGAATGTTCCCATCAGTGTTACTATCACATAAATCATATCATGAGCCATTTTGTATGAATCCAGCTTCATGATTTACATTGATTTATCCCGTCTGTAGCTCAGTGAACTCACCAAGCGCAATTTCATTTTACATCATTCACCAGAGATTCGGCAGCCATTCACCATGGTTGATCATCCCTCTGTTGAGACACACCCAAATGTCATAGTGTTGGTTGGTTACAGTATATCTCATGTATATTATATATATATCCCACTATGTTTCATTCAATCCTATGAAATCCACATAAATAAAATTGTTTGTTTTTTCCGACCGGATCTTTCACCAGATATTCAGCAAACATTCACCAGATCTTCATGATAACTTGGATCATCCCCCTTCATGAAAACCAATACTCACTGTAGTTAAACAGCATTCATATCGGAGGATCATCTTCATCAATAAATATTCACCAAATGTAAGGTGCCCCAGTTGTTTTTGCAGCCCATTGACTAGAGTTATAATTAGCACAAGCCCTGCCATCTTTTGACATCTGACGGGGAAGTACATCCCATTGTATCCCCATGGCCAAAAAGGGCTTTCCCCGTTGTGCTACCATGTTTGTTTGTGAACTCCCCAATTCTTTTCTTGATTGATTAACTATATAAGCCATTATTGACTTATCCACCTTGTATCTATTGGATTGGTTTTGAGGGAAATGTTAGAGGAATCCAACCTATATTGATGTGAAAAAGCATCATGTCCGGTTTAGATGTTCCCAACCAATCCAAGGATATATGGCTTGATTATCATTATATATATATATTATACTGCTACCAGTATTACTATCCTTATTACCATTATCATCATTGACTACTGACTGATACTCATTGAATCATGTCCTCCCATGACCTTTGTCGCCATCCCCGCACTTGGGATCCGCCTGACACGTGCGGTTTCTTCACGAAATCAATGGCGGCCGTCCATGCCAAGGCAAAGGTGACTCCGTGCAGAGGCTCCACCAAGAGAACCATCCAGGCGGAGGACATGCGCCAATAAAAGGCGGCACCTGGGAAGCCATATACTTCGCCAATCAAAAATGGGATCTCCATGAAAAATTGGGATTTAATCATGAAAAAAGTGTTTTTAACCATCAAAATTTGGGATTTGCCAACCAAGAAATGGATTTTAACATTTTAACCATCAATAATGGAGATTTCACCGATGAAATCATAAAAACGACGTGTGTTTATGGTGATATTTTATATCACCAACTATGATCCCAATATCTACTATTCTATCCCCATATTAGTTGGTTCCATCCACAGTGCAATGCGGTGCCCCCAGGGCATCACCTCGTATAAAGATGGGGAAGTTCCATTCCTGGGTCTGTCTGTTTCAAATGAAACTGCTCATGGAAACTCCGGGCATTTCTGATATCCAAAACAATGGGAGAAAAAAACAGGAAAGCCATGAACGGAAGCCGGGTGAACTTGTCTCCAAGGACTGGTTTTTGCATGGTCTGGTTTTGGTCTGGTTGCTGTTGCTGAAGCCCAGAAAAAATGTGGAAAACATGGACCACTCCCTGAAGAATGCAAAACAACTATATAATTTGATTCACCCTCCTTCTAGAACTGGTTGCTTGGCACCCCAACATATAAGAAATTCCACCCTTATCAAGGTATGTTCTGGATCAATAAAAATGCCGCACCAGCTGGGAGGTCAACAACACCTGCATTTTTCCATAAATGTGCGGTCAACACATCTTCTGTGGCAAAACAGTGGCCCTAGAATGTTCGAGTAAATGAGTAAACTGTTAGCAACCTACACAATTTACAGTACTGTACGTACGTACGTACGTATATATGTATATATATATATGTGTGTGTAGAGATCGCCCAGATATAACATGCCAAGTGTAATGGGCATAAATTGGAACATCATGGGGATATATCGTTCCATTTAACAATAGCCATTTGTGGGGTGGCAAAAACACAGGCCGAGCCACGAACAACCCAGGCCGCCTGTGCAGCCACCACCAGCTTGCGGGTTCCAAAGGTGGAAAGTAACCTGGGAAGACCAGTTGCCCATTTTACTCATCGAATGGAGATTTCACCCAGTTCTTGGCATGTCACTGGGGTCTTTTCAAGCTGCCAACTGAATTGCCTTTCCCCATCCAAATCAACACCCTTGGAGGTGGAAATTCTTGGTTCATGGATGTCATGGATGATAAAAAAATGATACTCCAAGTAATCACCAGGCTTTTGAACACTGCTCATAATGGAAATTATATGATGTTGAAAGATTAAAAAAAAACTACATGAAAATGTTGGGGAGTTGACAGCTAACATTACCAGTTCCACTCTTGTGACTTAGCTAAAACCTTTCCAGGTAGCCACTGCGCTTTGGCAAAGATGGGCAACTCAAAGATCACCGTGACTACCTGAAGCGCCATGAAGTGCCGGCACAGGGATGCTTCAGAAATGTGGATCTCTTTTTTGGAATCAAAGATTGCAATAAGCCAACAAAAACTCAAACTCTTTTCCGCATGTCTCCATGGAAATCTCATATTGTATATAAATGGATAAAAAGGGGGCAATGTGGGATCTGTCATTGCCGCCTTAGATTGCCCAATGGTTTCAAAATTGAATGCACCTATACATCTGAATAGATCTGACAGAACGTCCGTCCCTATGATATCCCATTCATATCCCATTCTACCAACTTGTTGCTACTTAAATGCCTAAAAGATCGTTGCTTCGCTTGCAGCAGGGCCTTCCCCCTACCTGGCCGCCATGGCCGCCATGAGCGCCATGGCACCACAGAGAAACCACAGAGCAGCGTTGATGCCTTCATCTCCTGCAAAAGCAAAAACAGCATGCCCTCCACCATGGCAAAGCCGGCGCCCAGCACCGTGATGTTCACGAAGAAGGCCGCGTTGCTCCTAGATCATGAAGCTTGGCATTTGACCAACACAAATTGTCATCCAAACAACAAAAATGGGAATTGATAATTGGACGAACAAAATTAGGATTTATATAGGATATACTGGGATAATAGGGGTATATAGCTCTGCTGAATGAATATTGACTGGGATTTTATAGGATATACAACCAACAAAATGATATTAGGGTAAAAAGTCAACACTTAGCAGGCAATAAGTCAATAAGCATTAAAATATAGGATTTTAGCATCAAAACTGGGAAATCCCATTAAACGCCCCCTGTTTAGAGTGGAAAAGTCGGATTTAAACAAATAGCTGAAAGGTAGTGCCCCAAACTTGTTAGTCATATTAGAGTTGGCTTCTGTTACTTCTGTTCACCCCATGAAAACATGAAAACTATAATTTAATAACTACCATAAACCCAACAGTGAAATGAGCAAAGTAAACCAGCTTAGCTAGCGAACTGGGGCACCACCATAGCTGGGTTGTTTTAGGGACATATCTGAAGGATTTTTGTTCCATGAAAATTCAGGATTTACCAGCAAAGTTGCGGACTTAAGCAAAAAATAACATTCAATGGATTGGTTTTAGGGAAAATTTTTTGAAGGGAAACCATGGCTTTATTGTGTTTTACGGTCACTGAATTGGTGATTTCATCGAGAAAAATGTGGAAAACGTCACATCACAAAACAATGGGTTACCCGAGCAACCATTGGAATTGAAGCACCAAGCAGGGTTTTGGAGCAACCAAAAAGAAAACAGCCAAACGAGGAGGAGATGAGGATGTTTAGTTGGTGATTTTATTGGGAAACATTGATAATTATAGAAAAGGTGAACAACATGGGGAGTTCACAGCGGCAGAAGCTGCAAACATGTGTTTTTTGCGGTGTGTGTATATATACGTATATATATACATATTATGTTGGATGTTTCAACCGATTTCACCTTGAATCGACGCGAAAATCTGGCGAAATCACCAGTGAAGGTATCCAACTGAGAACGGGCAACAATCCATCATCAAAAAATCGGGATTCGACCATCAACAATTGTGATTCACACAAGCATCAGAAGGTTGGGGATTGAGCGAATACACGTTGGCAAATATTGAAGCGCCAAGCTTGGGATGGAATCACCAAAACTGGGTTCACGTGTGTCAAATCACATGTGTCAGGCGTTCTTGTTTCATGCATGTGGGAACTACGGATGCATGGATGGATAGACAAATAGGTAGATAAGGGTAGAAAAATATATAGACATGTAGATTGCCATCCATGTCTTGTTCCTTATCCCAAGTTTCCTGGTCTTAGATTCGCTGCGCTTCCCACTAACACGCTTAATCGAGATCTACCCTATGCCAATCTAAGCCTGGCAATGAAAAAAAACATGTTTTGCCGGTATTCCATGAAATCCCTAAATTCACGGGCATTCCCAATTTTGACCGTTGATCAGAGAGGCTTCCTCTCCTCAAAATGCGCAGAATGGAGCGAAGGCTCACATCTCCCGTGGCCTCTCCACATGCTTCAGGCATGCCAAGGGTTGCCCAAAACAGCCCCGCAGCTGTCAGGGCAAAGGAAATAAACCTCGGATTCTCGGCAGATTTTCCCAGATCTTGAGAGATCCATGCGGCCGAGGGCCGATATGTGTCAAGCTCTATGGAATGGGTGGGTCATCCACTGGTTGGATTTGTGTGTCTAAGAAGTTCCCAAGACTGGAGCCATACTGCGCTCGAAGCAGATTTGAACTCCTTTTGCTTTGAAATTCAGGGCTGATCTTAGATATGAACCCATTTATGGAAACAAGTTCGCGACTTCACAAATCCGAAGAATAAAATCTCGAAAGTTAGGACCATACTTGACAAATGAATCCTTGAATCCTTGATACTGATTGATTATGTTGGCTATAGGGGGAACCAATATATTCCATGTTCCATGTTGAGAAACCCAACAGCAACCGGTGGCACCCCATGATCGCAGTGTTGCCACGAAGTCTTCATCCAGAGACAGATGCCGTGGCCACGTCCATTTTTGGCTAAGAAAATTTGGGAATATCAATATCTGCTGAAATATCCTAGTTATTTTGGACTGCAATGCCAATTGCTACGAATTGGCTACCCTCTGGGAATCAAACATGGCAATGGTCTTGAAGATTCCCCACGTCCTACAGATGGTTTTCCCATGTAAATGTGCATTTGTATGGGATATCCATCGATTTCGCATTGCCATGTTTGGGTAGCGGAGTTGGATTTGGGGAATATCCCGGTGGCAATGGGATATAGCTTTGGGCCACCCCGCGCTGTAAACTAGCATTCCAATTGAAAGTTCATCATTTATCAGACTGCAATGTTGGACGCCATGATTGCCCAATTGATTAAACAAAATCTCAAGGACCAACAGGCGCTTGGCCATCATTCTGGGACAATCAAAACTGTTGCAGCTGTTGCCCCTCACCATCCCACAGAGGAAGATCATATCGGTCTTCGTCTTATCCGGCTGCTGTGCTACTCTTGTGTTCACATCCCCTGTCACAGTTGGCATGTTGAGAGGTACCCAACTGCCCCACTCATCGTTTTCATGCCTGGTTTCCCAGTCAAACCCAGACCCCGGCCTTGTCTGGAAAAAAGAGGTAGATTCAACTCCAGCGGATCATCATCATCATCATCATCATCATCATCATCATTGCAGGATGCCTAAATCTACAGGACAACAAAAATCATCAAAAATTGGTGGTCCAGCCACATTACGCAGAAGCCATAGCGATCGAACAGGAGTCCCAGGGGAAGATGTGCCATGCCCCACCCCAGCGCGCCATAAATGCGCGCGTCACCCCAGCGTTGAGCATCTTGATGACAGGCTGCCAGCGCCACAGCGTCCATCATGGAAGTGGAGGGAGATCCAATCAAGGAAAACCTCGGAACATTCTGATGGCAACAAAAATGAATGAAACCCAGGATGAGGCATTTTTTTCAGAAAATCGAAACGAATTTGCTGTTTGGGCATGGCAATCCAAACAACACTGAGTGAAAAACAGGGTTCAACCAATCGGCACGTCCTGATTAATCAGGTTTGAGGCAATCTCCAAAGTTGGACTTCTCCAAAACCGTGCGTTTTCGTACAAGCATGGACCAAATGTGGATGATATTGCGGCCCCCAATTTTTGGAGAATCCCCGCATGCAAAAACAGACATTACCGACATCAACTGGCGGTTTTGTCGAGTAGGATTGGTCCCATGGGTTGGATGCAAAATGGAAAAAAATCGAAACCACCAGTGATATATTAGTCACCTCTTCCATCCCGATTTTTCATGGAAAAATCCCCAGTCGTCTCTTGGCAAAACAATCCGACTTTGGGGGAAACATGGGGAAACCAAATTTGAGCCATATCAAAAACCTTGTTAAAACCTGTTAAAACATGTTAAAACCTATCAATCTGAAACATGTTGAAACATGTTGAAACCATCCTCTCAATCCTCAAGGAGCATCCACAGCGCGGTGCCACGCAAAGCCAGGCCCTTTAAGTCGTTCCGCACCGGAAGGCTAAGAGCTAGGAAAGGGATGCCACTGGCCACCAAACAGGCCAGCTGAATGCTCCTGGGCACCAAGAATTTCGGCATGGAAATAGCATGGAAATATGAGGATATAAAGCATCCAGAAGCATCCAGAAGCATCCAACATATATGTTGCAACATGTTGCAACGATCGTTTACCGCGCCAAGGATGGGATCGCATTTGGGATCGCATTTTAGAGCTTGGAAAATGATGGTCTGCAGCGGTTTCAGGGGGGTTCACAAGGTCTTGAATGGTTTAAGATGGTCAAACACGGTCAAACACCAGGTTACCAAAAATCCCCAAATTGCATTTTAGACCTTCAAAGTGGCAGGCTTGTCTTGGAGCCTAGTGTCCATATGTTACCACATGCACACGTTCGCCAAGGCAAACCCTTCCTGAGTCCTGGCTTTCTTCGTCTTGTCAGCCAATGCATTCCACACTGGGGTGGACAAGGTTTGAATGGCCCGGCGCACGGCAATCAGCAAACCAATTTGCCACGCTTTGAAACCGTCGGCTTCGAAGTAAAGCGTAGCATACCTAGGGCGTTGCGGTCGTGCCCCCTCGATGACTGGTGGGGGTGAACTCAGAGAGAATGGAGGGAAAAACTTCTTTGAGATGCTTGATCATAATGTTAGGAAATGTGAGGAGGAAACTTGGACAATCACTTTTTGTTGAATTTTCTTAGGCTTACTAAGTAGTGGAAAGATTCTGCTGACAACGACAACCACCCAAAAGGAGGCTTTGAAGACATCTCCATTGTACCCCCAATTGACTATATTTTTTTATCAGAATATCCCAGGTATCTCCATGTCCCATTGATATCCCATCATTGGTTCCCACGAACGATCCCAGTGTTCACGGTGGCTTCCCGCCTCTCATAGCTGGCGAAGAAGGTGAAGCTGGCGAAGTAATAAGCCTTGACCTCGCCGCGGATGAATTATGTTGATTTACTTATTGAAAACGGTGATTTTCCATTGCTTTTTGTATGTTTAGCAGAGGGTATGATATTAATGATATGGGAAATTGTTGGCATATTGAACAAGAACATGAAGTGCATTCTTATGCCTGTAAGATGCAGTATCTTGCGGACTGCCATCCGTTTAAAAAATTAGAGCAATTGGCGTTGGTGAGATTTGGGGCATAGGTCACGGTTGCTGGTGACATTAGACGTTGCATTTCCCACAAATCAGTTGTATCGCTTCATTTCATGGATGGTCTGTAGTGATTCCTCGCTGGAGTTTGGGGGTATTCCTTCCCCACAAATCCACCCAGCTTCACCCAGGTCTGCCATAGCCATGAACGATGGACGACCAAAATGTCCTGGTTTAGAACCTCATGTTCCCTATTAAAATTGCCATTGCTGGGGGCATCCCCATTTTCAGAACACCTATGTCACATTGTTGATTCTATATCTGGATCTATCTCCCATTCGATCCCCGGTACATCCCTGTAAAATTGCTGGTGTTACAGCCTCATGTACTGTTGGCCATTCGATCCACATGAAACATCCCATTGATTTGTAGATCTCACTGAACAGTTGCATCATGGTCCCCATGAAACATCCCCATTTCACGGTCCATCCTTCGAGAGGAGATTCCAGATTATCATTAGATATCATTAGAATCATTGGAAAGAATTCTAAAATCATAATCCTAATAATCCTAATCATCAAATCCTAAATTCCGAATATCACCTCATAATGCTAGTTATACTATAGGATAATGCGAATCCGTGTTATAATTCGTGGTAAATCCCCATTGATTCAGACATCCTGCACTGGCAGCGACCACGCGACTCTCAAGGGCTCGGAGCCCTCCATGTGCCAGACACCAACCGCCGCGCGTTCGGAGCGACGAGAGCCATGGTGAGTTGGGCGATCTCCAAGGTTGAGGAATCTGATACTATTTATTTACATATATATATATATATCATCTGGTTATTTAACATAGCCATGGAAAATGGCCCATTTATAGATGATTTTCCCATTAAACCTCCATTTATGAGGGATTTTCCATGGCTATGTTAAATAACCAGAGGGTATATATATATATGTGTACAGTAACCCCCTAAAGGATGGAAAGTGGGGAGAATATCATCTATCCCGCAAACAGGTTTACTAATTTTTAAGGTTGATATAAGTGTGTGTGTGTATATATATATATATGTATAGATACTATTAGATACTTATGTGTAGCGACAATCGCAACCCCATCAGGGACAAAAATCGAGGCACCAGCCTTGATTTCTATCACTACATCGAAGATTGCCGCTGTTTTGTCCATCGTATTTGGGGTTTGCCAACACCAACTGAGTTGTAAGACTGAAACTGTAGAATTATTCTGAATAAATTATCATAAGTTACAATAATTCACAAACCTGAAATCCCATCACCCAGTGAGGTCGTTATACATAAGTTATCCACATGATCGGTTCCACTTCCTTTAGGTATGATTCTGCTGGTCTCAGGCACCTGAGACTTGACACTGACGCAGGTCCAAGTCAGGCAAACCAGGCGCTGGGCAGTCAAAAAAGCGAGAAAAAAATACACCCGCACCGGAAATCGTACCGAACCTTTATCTGGGATGGGACCCCTGAGCTAAGGCTGTTGGGGAACGAACGAACCTTCAATCCTTCGATCGCAAGTGTGAAAGGTCAGTCAGCCAACAACCACCTGTGAGGGTTAGAGCTCTTAAGGGGGGGTCACCTGTAGGTTGCCGTGCCCAAGCACTTCCCTTTTTTTCAGCCCGCTGTGGTGCTGCCGCTAGGGCTGGAAGGGCTAGGGGACCTGGGCTAGGGTTGGACATCCATTGATATGTGCTGAAGCAGTTTTGGTGTCAAAGGAACATCAACATGTTCCAACTATCAAGGAGATTACGGTACCGTGGTTCAGTGTAAATGGCATGAAGTTTCTCCAGTTGCGCTGCGACCGGCTGAGTGCCAACGGCTTTGCTTGATCGCTGAAGAATCGGAACATGCCATCAATGCCTCAAGACTGGGGTCCCAAAAAAAATACCAAAAGATACCAAAAGTATCCAAAAGTATATAGATCGCCATCAGAAAAGCAGGGATTCACTCTTCTAACTTTTTGGGACCCGTTTTTTTAGCTCATTTGGAAGCTTGACCCAACCTTTTAATCGATGCAAGACTACAATAGATACTGTGCAACCTGTCGGGGCAAAGGAGTTTGAGAAGCCTATTCATATACACAACAACTCGAACGTCCATTCGAACACCTTACTGTAATCCCTACATATAGGCAACAATGGATATGTTAGGTTATGTGAAACAATACTCAGACACGGATGTAAAACTGGCAACAGAGAGGACATTAGCCAGTTTCAATTAGATAGCTGCACGCGTTTCCACAGCCACATTAAAAGAGCCAGTCCCGCCTTGCACGGCTGAGCGTTTGATATTGTCAAAGTCACCCGCCTGGCATTGGGCTTGCGCAACCCGCGGGGACGGAATTGACAAACAGTTCAAACTCATAAATCCATCTACAAACAGAGTAGAATGTAAGGACTCGTGATGGTGAGGGACCGCCATTTCAGGATAGTTGCAGTGCCATGCATCCATCGATTGAACCTACACGTCAGCAAGACTCCATCAAAATGATGCTTCATGATTACCCAGATTACCCATAGTTTTGGAAGAAAATGCCCATGACTTGGGTCTTAAGAAAACCCAAACAGGTTGAAGGTCATGGTGTGTCCCAGTCCCACCTCCGGATCGCGCGGATCTTTGAAGCCTTTGGTCACAGGGCGAGAGCCCTGAAAGCTGAAATCCGGATGCATCCACGCCATGATGGGCTCCTGTCGCGCTGGGGGTCTCAGGCTTACCAAACTTGCCATAGTACCAACCTTGCCCCTGTTTGTGTGTGCGGATGCTGATGGATTCGAAGGAAATTGTGGCCACATCCCAAGTGCAGGAAAGAAACAGAGGTCGATTGGAAAAGGATGCAAAGTCTGATGTCTGAAGTGCCCTCTCCCTCGCTTTACTTTCTCATGGCTTGCACCCCGAGTTGAAAGTTGGAACCCTGTTTCAGCCCAAGCTGATACCCTCACCCACTGCAGCCCTCTGGCTCTCCGTGTGACCATACTTCCAGAACTGTCTGTATAGACCCACTGGCCCATGGTCGTACTGGTGATACATCAGAGCTTTCTCACAGTACCTGAATATCGGCGAAAAGTGGCGCATGGCTGATGATCTATCCCCCAGCTTTTGCTGCTGCCATTTCTTCATCTGCTTGATCTCGCCTCCTAGCAACGTACTGACCTGAAATGGGCCTGAACCCTTGAAAATAAAATGACCAAGGCAAGGCTTTCCCCTTTTCTTGGGCCATGCCACCTGGTGAAGACGTTCTTCTCAACGCGTAGGCGCCAGCAGAATTCAATATCCTCAAACCCTGGACCTCGATGGCGGGATTTTCGGGTTCCCTTTAGAAAGGAATGCTCCATTCAAGCTCTGAATGGTCTTGTCCGATGGACGGGCGCGTTACCATGATGCCCCCACCAATTTCAAAGTGGAGAGGGAAAAAACACCGATTGCGGTGGGTCAGTTGCAAAGTCGGGGTGTGGCATGGTTGGTTACTAAGTTACTTTAGTCACTAAGCCATACTAAGCCCAGTTAGTAAGTCCCTTAAGTATCCTTAAGTGGCTTATAAGTGGCTTATAAGTGGCTTAGTATGGCTTAGTTATCCCTGTCAGCTCCGCCAAGGTGCGTGAGAAGATTGGGTCAAACTCTTCCTGGCGGACAAGAGCCCCAGAAAGCTCCAGTTCGAGAGGTCTTTGTTGCCAGATTTTAGATATTTATAGTTATTTAAGAACCAGGGAGTTCTACATTACAATCCATAAATCCTGTCCGAAGCATCTAGTGAATCTATGTGAATCTAGTGAATCCAATCTGCTTGAACTGCTTGCACCATCTCTGCCACCCAAGTGTCCTTCCCCACGGAATTGAGGTTCACGCTGAAGTTGCATGTGCCTCAAAGGCTGAACCGCTTCGGAGCTCAGAAAAAAAACTGAAAAAAACGAAAAAAGTGGCCTTAACGGTTAACAAGACAGTCTTGTTGCACGTTAGATCCTTGCAAAGGTTTCAACTTGGTCCCCAGTTTCACTTCCAAAAAAGGCCCATCAACAACGGTAATTCAAGAAATCGATGGACCATCAATTCCGTCCTGGGAACACTGGGACTGGGAAGCCCCCACATCCATACAGCAGCACATCCTTGGGATCCTCCCAGGACCAGCGTCCGTTGAGGTTTCCGAAGTGGTCGTGGAAACGGCCGGTGGCACCTCACAAAAAAAAACATCCAGAAGGTCGATGATTGTAGGAGGTTAGAGTACCCTTCATAATCTTCATATATATAATACATATATATAATACATATATATATATATAATATATATAATATATATATATATAATATATATAATATAATTATATACAGCATATTATATCGCATTACCCTCCGGTAATCAACCATTGCAATGGAAAATCCCCAACTAAATGAGCATTTAAATGCGAAAATCATTGAACTAAATGGAAGAATTTCTCAGCAAGCCATGTTTGATACCAGATGGGATACTGTATTGGGGATGACCATCATCCACATTATATCCCATATTATATCCCACGGATTTTAATGATATTAGATATCCCCAGAATTTCCATTGATTTCCCATACTGAATGACTGTGAAAATGACCATTTACAGGGAGATTTTCCAGCAAGCCATGTTTGATTACCAGAGGGTATATCCCATTAAATTCCATCAATAATCATTAATCATCATTATTGACCATTATATAAACCAACCACTATTAACCAATTATGAGCAATCATATCAAAACCATTACAATAGTCATTATCAACCATTCATCACCATTCATCACCATTCATCACCATCACTAACCATCATTAACCATCATTAACCATCATTAACCATCATTAACCATCGTTAACCATCATTAACCATCATTAATCATCATCATCATCATCATCACCACCACCACCACCAGCATCATCATCATCATCATCATCATCATCGTCATCATCATCATCACCATTATATATTTAACCGCTATTCACCACTATTAACCATTATTAACCATCGCATCACATCACATCAACATTTAAACATGTGCAATCAATGATCAAATGATCACATCAACATTTACTCATCATTAAATCCCAGTTTTTGAGTTCCCCAGACCCATCCCAGAGCCAGGCCGAAGAACTTTGGTCCACCGACAGGGTAGGGCCCGAGAGAATCCCAGGCCTCGAACCCCGGAAACTCGCCCCGGTGGTGCCCTTTGGGCCTGGTGAAGTCGTTCATTTATTGGGAATCCCTGAGAAAATCTAGGAAAAAGCTGGGAATCCCTTAGAAAATCTAGAAAAAAAATGCTGAAGAATATTGAATCCTCACTATTTCTTGGATTTTTGCTGGAATGTACAAGAGCACTGGGTTCTTAACCAACGGCCAACCCTTGGTTGAAACAATACACCCTCCTGAAAAACTGGAAATGTGCAGCAAGATGGGTTTCCAACTGGAAATGGCAACTGGTTGATTCCGTGATGTTCCGTGACAGTCTTGCGAGTGTATGGCTATGGCTCAAAAATGCGATACTGTTTTGGATCGACGTAATGAAATGGCTGGTTCTTAGGGATTAGAAATGCAGCACCAAATCCTGGTGGTAAAATATTGGCAAATAATTTGTTTGAGCCATATCCATACGATCTGGATGCATAAAACACGAGTCGCATTTTGTCGTCATTTTTTTTAGGGTATTGAATTGAATATTCAAATAATACATGTCCAAGTTGGGGCGGTCTCGGAACCACAAAGGGCTTGTCATCGTATTGATTCCTTTCATCGAATCATTCAATTTGGGAGTTGTTGATACTGATGCGAGACTTGGTTCGCATCCATGTAACCAATCGGGCCTAAGTTGGTTTACAGTACATATGTCAGAAACGGATGAAAAATACCGGCAGATTGTCTATGCACCAGGATCCTCCTTTCCAATACCAAATTCATAGGCCTCATTTGGTGATCACTTTTTGAAAAATTACCATCACCCTCCGGTAGTTCAACATAGATATGGAGGAATGGCACATTTGAGATTTACTATTAAAATCCCGATTGCTCATATGCTAAATTACCACAGGTTACCCAAACAAAGTCTCTCCATCCTTCACCCATCATAGAGCCCCCAAGAAGATGGGATAAAAACTATGTAAAACAAAAAAAATCGAGGGATTTCTCAGCTTGTTCTATCTTTTTGTGTCCCCAACATGATTTGAGCAGTATTCGAACCTCAACATGTCATCCCCGTGTACTGGCTGGTTGAGAACGGGATTCCAGTGACATGGATCAGTTCATAATCTCCAAGAATCCAGGTAGCTTAATCAGCCCCCGTTTCATAATTCATCAACTACCGTCAACTGGTCACTGCTGATCTGAGTACAGTATCATAATGCACCAACCTTAGAAAGGTTCGGCCAGAATTTTTGTGGTAACCTTAAATAGATAGAGAAGTTAGTTATCACTATTTTAGTGACATTGTGCTTTTCTATCTTTTTGGGGGCTTACAATAATCGGTATAGCTATTTACATATTGCTTATATTATCTTATATTATTATCACCTTATTAACCATTGTGACCCATTATTAACCATTATTAACCATTATTAACCATTATTAACCACTATTACCTGACCTCAATTTCATCATATACCTCCTGATCAACGGCTTCCCCACCACCCAAACTGCGTCCGGCGGGCGCGGCGCGCCTCCCACGTTGTGCCTCCCACATCTCTTCGACCCAGTGAACGTCCGGAGCGGCGTCACTGTCCGTCAGACAGACCACCACCTGTGCCGGAAATGTTAATGAGATTAAGAATGGTTAAGAATGGTTAAGAATGGTTACGAATGGTTAAGAATGGTTAAGAATGGTTGATAACGATTACAGTAAATAATTGTGATTAATGGTGATTAATGGTTAATAAACCACTTAATGGTGATTAATGGTGATGAATGGTGATGAATGGTGATGAATGGTTGATAATACTGGTTGATGGTGTTGGTATGATGGTTGATCATGGTTATATAATAGTGGTTAGCAATCGTCAAGATGAATGGTGATTGATGGAATTGCCCTCCGGTGGAAAATCAAACGTGGGCTGGGAACACCCAGCACTAGCCATGGATCATGGAGGGTTGCTGCGAAAATCATCTAAAAATGATGGATAAGTCCGTTTCCATGTTTGATTACCAGAGGGCAATTCTACCGACAAATGGCAATTTTCATAAGCTGACGATAAACCTGAGCAATGTTCAAAAACCTAGTGAAGAACGGGATTCACGTACAGTGATGGATGATGATCATCCCCTTTTTATGGGGTAGTATGGTTAATACAACTATAATCCCATATACCAGAGAGGGTAATCAAGCATTGCAATGGAAAACCCTCCATTTGATGATTTTTCCAGCTATAAACCTCCATGGCTACTGCTCACCTCTCGTCCGCGGGCCCACTTTCGCAGTAAGCGCAGCCCCACACTGCGGGCACCCGCAGGACCCACGTTTTGCTGAAGCCTTACCTGAGGGCGGTGATCTCCCCAGTGGCGCGTCAGTGATGTTGGCTGCAGGAAAGGACTCAGTGATATACCGTTGTTATCCGGTTTTCTCATTTTACCCAAACTCCCAACAACCATTAAAGGCAAAACTCTGGACCTCTGTAAATCCTGGCACTGTAAGCCTGTGCAAAGTTCTGGGATGTGCTTTTGTGCGACAGGGATAGCCCCATGTGCTCTGGAGACAAAACCCAAGGTCCACATTGGAGTGTTCTTTTCCCAGGAAATATGTTGTATACAAATTGATAATGGCCCGTGACCGGGCTTCTGCCATTTACAATTGGGATACACATCCAACCAGGCCCAGTAATGGACCTTGCCAAGCAGCCAATGCCAGGCCATCATTGGGCCAGGCTTCGGTGGCAGCTTCCAAATCCGCGAGCGATCCGTCGTCCACCTCTGTGATGGGCTCGGCTATCAGGGTTGACATGTTTCGAAAAAAAGGCTCCTTTCCCACTGAGGAACATCGAAATTCGAATCCTTTCCAACAGCTCAACTGCCTTGGAAATGACCCACAACTCAAGACTTGCTGAACCATTTGACGCTTTTCCCACTCTGGTCCTGCCACAATTGGATTGGGTCAAAAAAAACCTGGCAACCCAAAATCGGATCATTGATTCAATTCTATACATATATGATATTATGGATTATATTGAGGTTTCCCCAAACCACTGCTTTTCCCATTGATAATCATAAACCATTTGCATGATTTTGGGGATCATGTTGGGAAACCTCCATCGCCCCAACCTGACCATCCTCTAGGTCTCCCAACGACCAGCACCACATCTGGTTCCCGCGTTTGCTGCGCCAAAGCTGCCAGCGTGGCACGAAGCTCCGCCACGTCCTCCGTTGAAAAACAACGCTCAAGTCATGGAGTTACTGTGATGCAAAAAGATCATGGATAGGTACCCAACAAGTAGCCAAACTCGGTGGGATAAGGTCTGAAACCTCACTCTACTTATCAAAAAGTGAACAGAATGGTCCAAACAATTGGATGTTCTTTGTTTATCTGTGTTACAAATATTATTGTTTCACGATTTGGGACTGTTAAAAAAGAATGACTCGTGGACTCCATGGCCATATAGATATATAATTTCTCACCAAAAAAAAAAACTTGGCTTTCCCCATGAAGAATGACAAGCTTTGGACGATATCTTCGATATCTTCCAATCTACCCATCCCGTCCGGCGTCCTGCGCCGTCCTGGCAAAGGCTGGCAATAGCACCGCCACTGCGTGGCTGTCTGGGCGCAAGGTGCCCGGTTGAGTTTGGGGGTGCCCCAGTTCTTTAGCTACCCTCTGGTAATTTAACGTAGCTATTGAAAATGGCCATTAATAGTGGATTTTCCCATTAAAAATGGTGATTTTCTATAGCTATGTTAAATTACCAGAGGGTAAGTCACTTCATAAATCATACTTTACTAGGCTTTATGGAAACTATAGCTATAGTGAATGGGGGTTACCAACCAACTTACAACTGGAGAACCACCTCGTCGGTTCCGGGCTCCCAAACCCTAAGATGCAGGGTCACATGACTTCCCGCTATCTGGGTAAATTATAATAATTCACTGGCCTAAAAAAAAGCTTCATATTGGGATAGTTATCCCAGTGAGATCGCAGTGAGGTCATTCCAATTTACCCAGACTCGGTTATTCTCCGCTCTAAACCCATGTGTTTCCCCTTGGTTTTCCGCTTTGGCCCCGGGAATGGCCTTTCGCCTCGCGCAGACGTTGCTCCACTTTGGGGAAAAGTCCAGTGGAGGCCTGTGGCATTGTTGGATTAGCAGCGGGTGTCCAAAAAGTCACCCAGGTAGGTAAATATCCTATCTATGTCTGTCATCTATGGATCCAAGTACCTCTTGACACAGTATGTGGGGTATGAATTTGGGGAAGTACCTTCTAAGTATTTGGATACTGGGGTACACATGGTAGGTTCAATCATGCATAAATTCGTTTTCGAATCTCCCATGATGCATGGATGATCTGTATCAGCTTCCATTACTAGGGAGTTAAACTCTCCTCTTTGGTTCCATAGTAGGCTGATTTCTCTTGCTGAGCCATCCAGCAATGCCACTGAAGAGGTTTATCGGTATCCCACTGCAAAGCATCAGCCATGATGATGTAGACAATGTAGACTGCAAACCATCAGCTCCATCATATGGCTTTGTCTGAAAATAGGCTACCGCCAATTCCAACGAATTAACACCTAATTTTCCCTTTTCTGTGGGTCATCCCCTATTTTCAGACAAACCCATATTTCACCATGGGCCATGAACCATCCTAGCCACACTGAATGCTGATGAAAGATCACCTGAGCTGTCCCCATCGCCTCCGTGGTGGACTCAACCACTGCCTAATTTTCGCATGGCTGTGATCGAACTTGGGGGGTGGCCTATTTTGAGACAAACCCATTGGATGACTTCCCACGTTCAAATTTGGCAGTTTCAAAACTGACGAAATTGAAAGATTCCCGTTAAATGGCTGGATTTTGCCGGAAAAAAAAAAGGAATTACCTCACCCGATGCCAGTCTAACTTCACTGGGAAATCCCCGGTCAAGCCAGGACTGCGCATCCTCGTTATTCTTGCTAGTTGATGCTAGGACTGCACATCTCCATGCTAATTAAATCCTCATTTGCAATGGTTAACTGAGGATGGGTCAAAAAAATCATCGACTCGGAAAAAAGATTGGCTTAAGCCTTAAGCTCCCAAAAATGACCTGCCATTTGGTTTTGTCTCGCAGTAGAATACTCCAAAAATTGATGCTTGACCATTTTGAGGATCCCCAAATATTTTGTAAGGGGTAAACTCATCAACCCCTATATCATCCCCTATTGTTCCCATTCATATCCCCATCAAATGGTTGAGAAAAAACATCCCCCGTGCCTTGATGATCTTGATGGTGAAAAATATCCAATCTATCCCAGTCGTCTATCCCATGTTGTTGCTATAAAAATCCCCGTGATATATCTGATTTTTGGATATATGTGGTCAGCTATATAAATCCCCATGTTGTTTTGGTTACCCCCTGGCAAACTGTGTAGATCATGTCGGGACCAGAAACCATGGATTTTGTATGTCTATGTACATGTTTACTAGAGGGTAAATCCCATATTCTTGGTTATATCCCATCAATGTTCCCACTAATATTATCAGCATATTTATCGTCCGACTGATAAATATATATATATACATACATATCATATATATATATATATTATCATTGTTGATATCCATACCCCCAAACTTATATATCAAGGTCAAGATCTCGTTAAATATCCCATTAAAATATCCCATCTTCCACATCCCGCGCTGTGCCAGGCTGCCAGCGCTTCCTCTCGTCGCTTCATCAGCGGCTTCAGTCCGCTCTTCCGCGCGAAGGCCGCGCGGCCGCGGTAGCCACCAATGGTACCCACCTTGGAAGATACCACCTGGGGATTCAACCACCCTCTGGTCATCTCTGGTCATTTGTTACATAGCTATGGTATAGATGGCCCATGTTTAAGATGATTTGCCTATGAAAAATGGTGATTTTCTGGCTATGTCACATACATAGCCATGGAAAATAATCATGTTTAATAGGTAAGTAGAGCTAAATCATCCAGAAATGGACCATTTTCCATAGTAAACTGTTATATAAGTTGCCAGAGGCAAAGATGTGTTAGTTACCTTTTTGGCAAACAAAAATGGGAGCTTAGCATATTTTAGCATGACCTGTCTAGAACAATGGATCCTAAAGTCTCAATTGTTCTACTCATCGAACCGGGATTTGTCCAACCAAAGCCATTGGGATGCCATGAAGCTTCCCACTTGGAGAATCATCCCACTGGATGTCACTGGATGTCACTGGTTAGTCGGTTAGTCACCACCATCCATAACCCAGTCCCATTTGAAATCCATGATGCTGGGGATCACCCCACGTCAGGACCCAGCTTGGTCCAGCGAAAATTCACCGAGTTTGGATCCGTGGGGCAGGAGGGTTTCCCTCGGGTTTTGCCAAGCTATGCCAAGCTGCGACCTTGAAAAAAATAAAGGTCAGCTTCCAGCGGAAAGACTGCGGCACCTCTGAACTAACCGAAGGGTCCATTGGGGCCGATTCCAATGACATGATCGAACTAAAAAAGGAAAAGTCTGGTGTGACATGCTGTGACCAAGGGATTTGGGGAAGACTAAGAAGTCAAGGAATATACTCCACAATGGGAAACATGTGGAAAACGTCACTGTTCAACAAAAGCGGGGTTAAGTCACGGCCCCTTGGCACCTTGTCCCAGTGATTGGGATTGGCCCAAAACAGCGCGCCCTTGGCCACTGGAAGTGGTAGATTCGCGACATGAGTTGATGATTCATGTATTGACATGTATTGACCGTGTGCATATATATATATGTATGATACATGTAATATGTATCAATATGCATATGATAATATGACATCTGATGTTCGACAGGAGTACATATACATATACATATACATATACAGATACATATACATATACATATACATGTACATGTACATGTACATATACATATACATATACATATACATATATCACGTAAATATATGTGTATATAAATAGCCTATATAGCCATAATTTGGCCATAATGAATATCCCATTAAAACCTCCAGCGTTTGGAACGCCTGTCTCTGCTGCCTTCAGGGTGTCTTTCCAGGTGGGAGCTCGTGCGATGTCATCCCCAGAGTTGGCCAACCTTGGGCTATTCACCCATGAAATCTTGGGGGAAAAAAACATCAAACATATGGGATTTAACATTAACTATGGGGATTTAACATATGGGATTTAACATAATTTAACTATGAATTCATATGGGATTTAACATAATTTAACTATGAATTCTGGGGACTGAACATGACTGAACATGACTTAACATGACTTAACATGACTTAACATGACTTCAGTTCAACGGATTGGTCGAAAAAGGGGGCACATCTGCATGAAACCGATGCTTTTGCCCCTAGATACGGAGACATTCCTGTAGAATGTCCTTCAACCAATTCTGGCAACAATAGCGCATATATTGACATAGTCATCCACTCGTCTTTCTGGTTTTGACCTATAGTCATGCATGGTCGGTGCGCAAAACACTGGCCGAGCAGCGCTTTGGTCGGCACAGTGCGCGGTACTGGGGGCCTTGATCCCGAGGAGGCCAGATTTCCATGCCTCCGGCACCCAAGGATTTCATCGAACCAAGTGATGAGCTTTGGACTCTTACCTCTAGACTGTCTCTACACCTTGAGAATCAGGTAGCAAAGTCTGTGCCACCAACCTCCAGAACAAAACAGAACAGTTTGTCCCCATTTCAGCCATTATGAGGTGTTGAGCTCTTCTATAAAAACTTAGAACGTCCCGTGCTTGAAACTCTTAACACAGGCCAGAAATCCAGAAATCGCCAGCGCATACTTGAAATTGCCGGCCCCTTCTCCACGCTTTCCTGGGTGATCTACTAGGAATAGTCGGGTTTTCAGGTTTTCACATATTTTCACCCAAGTTCTTCCAGCCCGGCGCCATAGGACGCCTCGTGGTCACCAACGGCGGCGACCGGGACCCGGGTGCGAGCATGGGTGCACATCCAATGCTACAAGCTGGGCTTGGGTTCGTGATGGAGCTTTAGCCTCTACATGGCCTCGAATGTCCAAGAGTTGGCTTAAAAGTACAACAGTCAACAGGATCAAAAAGAGATTGGCTGAGCTGAGTAAGAGTTTGCGCTTAGCATCGCTTAGCGGCAGATCTCTTGATCAAATGCTACGGAGGGCTGTCATGTTGCCAGCTAGCCGGCCCTGAATTGGCTTCTTTGCATTCCAGAAGGTGTCCTAGTCTGTCAAATTCACTGTCTTCTGAAAAGTTTACTGTGAATTATATATAAGTATATATATATACATAATTACACATATTATACTGACTACAAACATACAAGAGAAACGATATATGAAAAAACAACATTGCCATACAAATCATCTCACGGCCATAACCCCGAGGCCCTGCTCGCCTTTCAGCTCCCCCCTGCTCCGTTGCAGCCAAGCTGAGTGCCCTTGCTCGCCGCAACTCCCATCCCGCTGTACCAGCACATAAGCCTCACGGAGCTCTGAAACAGATGGAAATTCGATCCAAATCAGAAAGATGTGCAATTCGTGTGATAAATTCTTTGGAAATCAAACATGGCTTGCTGGAAAATACCTCAGCTACAGCTATAGATGTTCGCATTTGGATCCCCATGAAACCCAAGCATCGCTCGCCTGTCCATCCGTGGTGAAGCGCTCGAGGAAGGCACAGTCAAACAAGAAGAGCGCCATAAAGGCCATGACCTGCGATCTCGATGTGTCGCTATGGGGGATCCCCAGTCGTCACCATAGGTTAACCGATACTAAAATGAATGACTTGGATGATTGGGGGGTACCCCTATTTTAGGCAACCACCTAATATGCAATGCATATATATATATAAATGAATAAATAAATAAATAAATAAAATAAATTATATGTGTATATATATGTGTATATATATAATTATAACACATATACTTAGACATTGTGTGTATGTACATAACACAACATCGCGCATATGTACCTGTGAACATCATAAATTGGTGAGACCCCAGTATCGGGTATCGGTGATAAGGTCCAACAAGAGTCATGGACCACTTGGACGGACTTCAGGGACTGACATTGCGCAGCTGAGAAAATGTCAGTACTGAAAAAACACAAACACGCCTTGCGACTCAGCAAAATGTCCAAGTAATTAGTCTATCAATTTGTTCAGTATCTGGGTATTTTTGTCCCAAGAATTTCTAAGACAGCAAACAGAATTAATCAGAATTATAAACCCTCCCAGTAACCATTTGGAGCTCACTCAGCTTAGTCAGCCTTGAATAGCCCCACGATCGGCGTGAAGCAAAGGAGTGGAACCTTGGAATGGATCAAGCAACGGACCATCAGATCCAATGGTTACCCTCCGGTACTCAAACGTGGCAACGAGAAATCCCATAGAAATGGAGGGTTTTGATGGGCAAATCATCTACAGTATACCTGATTATCAGTTATGGATTTTCCATTGCCATGTTTGATTACCGGATCGTAATCTTTGACCAACTTGGATCTACGAAGAAATGGAAAACGGTGCCAGCAGCGCCGGAGCCGTAGTAGCATCCCCCCTCTGTTTTTTTCCTTCCATTCTTCATCTTTCACAGGCGATATGTTCAAGGCCAGCTTCGAACTCCACAGTCTGGGTGATTCCGAGCTGGACAACCTACCGTGTGATACGCCGGAATTTATCATGGGAATCAAAACATGGTATATCAAGCCCTGTTAATGAGGGGATGACCATCCCCCTATATGGGTCAATATGGGTCTAGAATCAACTAGAATCCATCCTCTGACCATGGAACATATGATTCCCAAACCCTGGTCATGATCGTATGTACATTCCGTCGGTGAGATTCAACACCATCAAAGTCTCACGGATCAGTTCGCAGAGGTCTCTGGAAAAGATGAAAGATTTCACAGTCTCCAGTGCGGGTCTCGGCAAGCGCAGCGGGGGCTTGCGGAAGAGATAGATCAAATGCTTCGCAGTAGCCTGGCAGGGAAACTGTAAAGGCGCTAAAGTAGGGTGTGTATGTTTGGCCCCTTGGGGTAAGAAATCTGTACTGGGTAAATAAAAGAGAGAGAGAGAGAGAGCGAGAGAGAGAGAGAGAGAGAGAGAAAAGGGAGAAAAAAAGGGAAAAGAGAGAAAAAGAGAGAAAAAGAGAGAAAAAGAGAGAAAAAGAGAGAAAAAGAGAGAAAAAGAGAGAAAGAGAAGACATAACTCAAATAGAGGAGAAGAAAAAAAGAAGAAGGAAAGAGAAAGAGAGAGAGAGAGAGGGTGAGAAAACAAAAAAGATAGGCCTATGAAGACAGAGAGAGAGAGAGAAGAGAAAAATGACAGAGAAGTGCAGAAAGTAAAACACAAAGGGAGACGAAGAACAGAAGGATAGAAAAGATAAAGAGAGTAAAGAAGGAGGTAGAGAGAAAGGGAAGCAAGATCTACAAAGAGTAAGTAAGAGGTGTAATTTGGAAAAGAACCCTCCACAGTGCGTTCGGCAAAACGCTACACAAGACATTTGCAAAAGAACAAGGACAAGCGACAAAGAGGATGTATTCCTGCCGAGGTTTGCAATGATTCCTCAACATATGATGTGCAGATGTGCATATATTCATGTCAGACAAGAGAAAATGAATACACCAATCTATCTGCGATTGACCAATATGTGCTTGAATGTTTTGATGTCTCAAGAGCATCTAGAGCCGGAAACAGTAGCAATTATACAGTAGCCTATGTGTTTCGAAATATTGAAACTGCCATGTTCTGTGGTGCCCAAATTCGATGTGTATATATATATATGTATAACATATATATATATATATATATGTATATATACTTACCCTGACCTTCCTAACACCATTGTTTCATTGGTTGCTGCTGGAACTACCAGTGTTTTCGCAGGGATTTTAGATTACCAATAAGGGCCAACCATTTCTATCTCTCCCTCTCTCTCTCTCTTCTATAGAAATTTGTCTGAAAATAAACTAATTACTCTCAATTGTTTGTAGTTCATCACCATTTTTCTACTAGACTTGCATTTTGGTGGTATCCCCTATTTTGAGACACTGTTCTATCCGGGACCCCCTCGGCACCTCATCTGCTGGCTTAAGGAAAAAGGCCGCCCGCGCATTCCGAAGGTGCTCGCGAATCAGCTGGAAATCTCGGTTGGTGTTCAACCAATGATGTTCCACCTGGGGTTGGTCAACCATTAGTTGGGGATATGGGCCATGGGCAAAAAAACTGGGATATTTCAGGTAGACAACGTGTGCCTCTGAAAATGGGGTACACCCGGAACAAATGTCCGTTGCTATAGACAGAATAATGATAAACCAGTGAATTTAGGTGTACAGTACCATGTTTGCAGACAAACCCACACAGGTTTGTGCAAGAATCGGGGGTTTACCTATTTACTTCCAATTTATGTGGTATATCGGTATATCTATGTGCATTGTATATACGTACGTCTATAGTGGCAAACTCAACGGCGAAAATGATGATCTAAACTCATCTAAACTCTAAACCATATCCTATTCTTGGACAAGGCCTAATCCCCCCAAGTTGCTGTCTACCAGCTTCAGTGGGGAGCATTGCCAAAGGGCTACATAACAGACCCAGGAATGAACTTTGGATGGGTAGATATGGAGGAAGGGGGAGGGCGCACCACAAATACACTCTTAAGTCCGAGCATCCTTTCAAATGTTCAATCTTTTCATGGTTCTACAACATATTCTATCTATAGTTTTGCGCAGCTGTCCTGGCACAGCACTGGTGAGAATGACTTTTGGATGGTTGATCTTGGCTTCCCTCTTTTTCATCCCATTGTTTCTTTCACAGCTTTCTTTTCAAAAACGTGCAAGAATGAAATTTGGATGGCAGATCAAGGATCACAACTTTTCTCATCCCATTTTCCTTTCAAAACTTCTTTTAAAAACCTGCAAGGATAAAATTTGGATGTGTAGATGTGGAGGAAAGGGCAGGGCCCACCACAAACACGCGCCTAATTCCAAGCATCTTTGGACAAAAAAACAATATTTTCATGGTTCTGGAGTCTAGAGGGTATTCTATCTATACTTTTGCGCAGCTGTCCTGGCACAGCAAAGGTGAGAATGACTTTTGGATGGTCACATTTGGATTCCTGCTTTTCTCATCCCCTTTTCCTTTATCAGCTTTCTGTTCAGACACCTGCAAGACGGAACTTTGGATGGTAAGATCTTGGATTCCTTCTTTTCTCATCCCCTTTTCCTGTCACAGCGTTCTTTTGCTCACCTGCAAAAAGAAACTTTGGATGGTAAGATCTTGGGTTCCTTCTTTTCTCATCCCAGTTTCCTTTCAAAGTTCCTTGTCAAACAGATCCAGGAATGAACTTTGGATGGGTAGATATGGAGGAAGGGCAGGGCGCACCACAAATACATACAAATACAATCTTAAGTCCGAGCATCCTTTCAAATGTTCAATCTTTTCAGGGTTCTACAACATATTCTATCTATAGTTTTGTGCAGCTGTCCTGGCACAGCACTGGTGAGAATGACTTTTGGATGGTTGATCTTGGCTTCCCTCTTTTGTCATCCCCTTTTCCTTTCAAAGTTTCCTTGTCAAACAGCTCCAAAAATGAACTTTGGATGGGTAAATGTGGAGGAAGGGGCAAGGCGCACCACAAACACACGCTAAGCATCCTTTCACAATTTCAATCTTTTCATGGCTCTAGAGGATATTCTATAGATAGTTTTGGCAGCTGTCCTGGCACAGCACTGGTGAGAATGGTCGGTCTTGGTTTCCTACTTTTCTCATCCTCTTTTCCTTTCAAAGTTTCCTTTTCAAACAGCTCCAAAAATGAACTTTGGATGGGTACATGTGGATGAAGGGGCAGGGCGCACCACAAACACACGCTTAATTCCAAGCATCCTTTGATATTTATGTTTTTTCATGGCTCTAGAGGATATTCTATCTATACTTTTGCGCAGGTGTCCTGGCAAAGCACTGGTTTGGACGGTCGGTCTTGGATTCCTACTTTTCTCATCCCCTTTTCCTTTCGCAGCTTTCTTTTCAAACGCCTGCAAGACTGAACTTTGGTTGGTAAGATCTTGGCTATCATCTTTGGGGTGGTGACTTTTTTGAAGTATACCCGTGTCTTCATTGGGATTGACTCTTTGGGTTTCCTGGGAACCAACAGCAACATGGCAATTTTCCTTGGAAGATTTCAGGGTGAAATTGGCATGCCAGAACCAAATACAATTGCGTAATGACACCTTTTTAATTTTGTGGTCATTCCAGAGGCCCAAACATGAACCAAATCACAAACTAAATGGTCCCTTTTCCTTGGAAGATTTTGGGGTGATTTTGACATGCCAGAACCAAATACGCAAACATAATAACAACTTTTTGTGGTCATTCCAAAGGCCCAAACATGCAATCCGGGACCAAATCACAAGCTAAATGGCCCTTTTTGTGATCATTCTAGATGGTGGGTCTTTCTCCAATCATCGACCCGGATTTTTGAGCCATTTTGGGATTCTATTTTGTAACCTTTTTTTGAAACTCCAGGGATTCTATCTACTTTAGGATGACTGCATATATATATATATAGATATACATATATATATATACATATACATATACATATACATCTACATGTACATATACATGTACATGTACATGTACATGTACATATACATATACATATACATATACATATACATATATATACATATATATATATACATATACATATACATATACATATACATATATATATATATATATCATCCCATATGTGCACCCCCTAAATTTAATGTGGAATCCCAACAATACGCTTGAAAGACTATGTTGGTATTGATCATGGCCTAATTGCACATCACCTATCGGGGAAAAACTCTCCAACAGATACTTGGTTTAGTGATGCCAACAAAATCGCCAGAAAGGGACATATGCCAACCCCTGCTTAGGTCTAAATGTCACAACACCGTTCATACCATAACTATGCCATCATTATACCACCATTTTGGTTGGCTAAATCGCTATTTTTTTCGTTTAAATCACCATGAACCAACAAAAATCGTGAATTAGATGCTAGTAACTTAGCTGCTAGTATAAATCACCATATGGTTCATGGTTGCTGTTAGTCAAAAGATGTTAAACCCCTATTTGACTGTTGTTCCACCATAAACCATAACCATAGATGGTTGCAAGGTGCTGCCACCCCAGTTGGTCTTTGTTGCTTTCAAAGCCATAGCAACTACTTGGATATGTCTACGTAGTGGCCATTTGAGTTCACCAAGTAAACGAATACAACACAGTTTCATGTTCAACTAACTAACCAGTTTTGTTCCTTTGATCCCATCACCCTAATATTAAACACCCCATAAATGGTTCCAATGCAAAGTGGAAAGTCTCTACTAAACCATGCTTTGATAACCCCAACAGTGACATTGGAATTTGGAGTTCACCAACTTCGCGAACGAGAGCCCCCACCTGATCCAAGGCCTCCTTGGCCGCCCGCTCCGTGCTGAAGCTGAGCACCGTGCTGAGCAGCCCCGGACGCCGCGCGCGCAAGGCGCTGGCCACGAAGCTGGGGGAATCCAACGGGGCCAGGACCCGAGCGCACCTGCAAAATGGGATGGTGGGGATGGAAGATATGGAAAATGGGGTGTATACATATCTATTACATATAATCAGATTTATATATGTACAGCATTGTTATTCAAAGGAAGTTTGAAGGTCTAATTTCCGTGTTACGGATGACAATGGATGCGCAATGGTTGTCATGGAGCAATGGATGTCAAAAAGCAATGGATGTCACAAGGCAACGGATGTCACAAAGGAATGGCTGTCACAGAGCAATGGGTGTCACAAAGTAGTGGATGTCACAAAGCAATGGCTGTCACAGAGCAATGGATGTCACAAAGACTTGGAGGGAGGTCTCGCACGAAAGCTTCGTTTTCACATCTTCAACTTTCACCTTTTGAGGGGAGTATCAAGCAATGAATGTCACAAAGCAATGGCTGTCACAGAGCAACGGATGTCATAAAGTAATGGGCGCCACCAAGCAATGGCTGTCACAGAGCAATGGATGTCACAAAGATTTGGAGGGAGGTCTCGCACGAAAGCTTAGTTTTCACATCTTAATCTTTCACTTTTTGAGGGAAGACTCGCACGAAAGCTTCGTTTTCACATCTTCCACTTTCACTTTTTGAGGGAAGTCTCGCACGAAATGCGTTTTTGAGAGAATGCACGAAATGCTGTGTTTTGCAGGACAAAACGTGTCTCGGAAGATGTGTGGAGAAGCTTATCCGGCGGACAGGTGCGAGACGGTCTCGGTTGTCCTCGGATCGTGGTCGGATCGGCCCCGCAGGCTTCACAACTCGAAGTTTTAAGATTTGAAGGAAGTCTCGCACGCAAGCTTTGTCTTCATATCTTCCACTTGCAGATTTTGAGGGAGGTCTCGCACGAAAGCTTCGGTTTCACATCTTCAACTTTCACTTTTTGAGGGAAGTCTCGCACGAAAGCTTCGGTTTCACATCTTCCACTTTCACTTTTTGAGGGAAGTCTCGCACGAAATACGTTTTTGAGAGAATGCACGAAATGCTGTGTTTTGCAGGACAAAACGTGTCCCGGAAGATGGATGGGGAAGCTTGTCCGGCGGACGGTTGAGGGGCGGATCATGGTCGGATCGGCCCCGCAGTGGCAGTGGACCTGGCAGTTCCGGCGTCATTTTCACAACTTCAACTTTCAAAAACTGCGGGAAGTCTCGCACGCAAGCGTCGTTTTCACATCTTCAAGGTTCAGATTTGGATGGAAGTCTCGAACGAAAGCCGCACGAAAGCTTTGTTTTCGCATCTTCGGCTTTTAGATTTTGAGGGAGGTCTCGCACGAAAGCTTCGGTTTCACATCTTCAACTGTGGGAAAGCTTCGTTTTCACATCTTCAACTGTCGGGATTTGAAGGACGTCTCGCACGAAAGCTTCGTTTTCACATCTGCCACTTTCAGATTTTGAGGGAAATATCGCACGAAAGCTTTGTTTTCACATCTTCAACTGTCGCCGAGATCTGCTTTGGAGCTGCAATTTCTGATGCCGCTGCGCATAGTTCTATTGTGTTTTGCAACTCGTTCTCTGCAGATCGCATTGGAATGGCTGCGTCAAGTTTGCTTGGAGCCGCCACTGTGTGTGTAATGCTATTGTCTTTTGCGGCTGGACATCCTAAATCCTATTGGAGTGGCTGCATCAAGGCTGCGATAGTGATTTGTCAGCAGATTTTCTCAGTTTAAAAGCTTGCTGTGTGTAAACTCATCTCTGTGTAAAAGCTGGCTGTGTGTAAAGCTTCTGTGTAAAGGTTTGCTGTGTGTAAAAGCCCCTCTGTGTAAATGCTTCTCTGTGTACAAGTTTGCTCTGTGCAAAAGCTTTCTGTGGATAAAAGCTTCCCTAACTCTGTGTAAAGGCTGGCTGTGTGTAAAAGCTTCTGTGTGTAAAGGCTTCGGTGTGTAAAAGCTCCTCTGTGTAAATGATTCTCTGTGCAAGGGCTTCTCTGTGTAAAAGCTTCCGTGTGTAAAAGCTTCTCTGTGTAAAAGCTGCTCTGTGTAGGAGCTTCTTTATGTGAAAGCTTGCTGTGTGTAGAAGCTTCTCTGTGTAAAGGCTTCTCTGTGTAAAACCTTCTGTGTGTAAATCCTTCTCTGTGTAAGGGCTTCTCTGTGTAAAAGTTTGCTGTGTGTAAAAACTCCTCTCTGTACATGCTTCTCTGTGTTAAGGCTTCTCTGTGCGAAAGCTTGCTCTGTGTAAAAGCTTCTGTGTGTAAAAGCTTCTCTGTGTAAAAGCTGGCTGTGTGCAAAAGTTTCTGTGTGTAAAAGCTGGCGGTGGGCAAATGCTTCTGTGTGTAACTGCTTCTCTGTGTAAAGGCTTCTCTGTGTAAAAGTTTTTTCTGTGTAAAAGCTTCTGTGTGTAAAAGCTTCCCTAACTCTGTGTAAAAGCTTCTCTGTGTAAAAGCTTCTGTGCGTAAGAGCTTTCTGTGTGTAAAAGCTTCTCTGTGTAAAAGCTTTGCTGTGTAGGAGCTTCTTTGTGTGAAAGCTTGCTGTGTGTAGAAGCTTCTCTGTGTAAAGGCTTCTCTGCGTAAAAGCTTCTGTGTGTAAAAGCTCGCTGTATGTAAAGGCTTGGCTGTGTAAAGGCTTCCGTGTGTAAAAGCTTCTCTGGGTAAATACTTCTCTGTGTTAGGGCTTCTCTGTGTAAAAGCTGCTCTGTGTAAAAGCTTCCGTGTGTAAAAGCGTCTCTGGGTAAATGCCTCTCTGTGTTAGGGCTTCTCTGTGTAAAAGCTGCTCTGTGTAAAAAATGCTTCTCTGTGTTAGGGCTTCTCTGTGTAAAAGCTGCTCTGTGTAAAAGCTTCTTTGTGTGAAAGCTTGCTGTGTGTAGAAGCTTCTCTGTGTAAAGGCTTCTCTGTGTAAAACCTTCTGTGTGTAAATCCTTCTCTGTGTAAGGGCTTCTCTGTGCAAAAGTTTGCTGTGGGTAAAAGCTCCTCTCTGTAAATGCTTCTCTGTGTTAAGGCTTCTCGGTGTGAAAGCTTGCTCTGTGCAAAAGCTTCTGTGTGTAAGAGCTTTCTGTGTGTAAAAGCTTCTCTGTGTAAAAGCTTTGCTGTGTAGGAGCTTCTTTGTGTGAAAGCTTGCTGTGTGTAGAAGCTTCTCTGTGTAAAGGCTTCTCTGTGTAAAAGCTTCTGTGTGTGAAAGCTCGCTGTGCGTAAAGGCTTGGCTGCGTAAAGGCTTCTCTGTGTAAAAGCTTTTCTGCGAAAAAGCTCCTGTGTGTAGAAGCTTCTTTGTGAAAAAGCTTTTGTGGGCGTGTGTCTGTGTAAAAGTTTGTTGTGTGTAAAAGCTTCTCTGTGCAAAAGATTCTCTGGGTAAAAGCTTGCTGTGTGCAAAAGCTTCTGTGTGTAAGAGCTTTCTGCGTGTAAAAGCTTCTCTGTGTAAAAGCTTTGCTGTGTAGGAGCTTCTTTGTGTGAAAGCTTGCTGTGTGTAGAAGCTTCTCTGTGTAAAGGCTTCTCTGTGTAAAAGCTTCTGTGTGTGAAAGCTCGCTGTGCGTAAAGGCTTGGCTGTGTAAAGGCTTCTCTGTGTAAAAGCTTTTCTGCGAAAAAGCTCCTGTGTGTAGAAGCTTCTTTGTGAAAAAGCTTTTGTGGGCGTGTGTCTGTGTAAAATTTTGTTGTGTGTAAAAGCTTCTGTGTGCAAAAGATTCTCTGGGTAAAAGCTTGCTGTGTGCAAAAGCTTGCTTTGTGTAAAAAAAATGCTGTGGATAAGGGCTTGCAGGTTTCTGCGAAAAAGCTTCTGTGTGCACAAGCTTCTCTGTGCAAAAGCTTGCTGTCTGTAAACGCTTCTCTGTGTCAAATCTTCTCTGTGGAAAGCGTAGGGGTCGCTTGCTTTGGCGCCGAGATCCGTTTTCGGAGCAGGTTTTCAGCTAGAGGAGAGCTAAAAAAAATTTGAGAGTGCGCTGAGAAGAGCTGAGATGAGGTGTGACAAGGTGACAAGAGCTGAGATCAGCTGAGGAGGTGTGAGAAGAGCTCAGAAAATGTGAGAATAGGGAAGAGGAGATGAGAAGACACAAGATGAGCTGACATGAGCTGCGGAGAGCTGAGAAGAGTTGAGAAGAGCTGAGAAAAGCTGAGAGAAGCTGAGATGAAAAGAGATGAGAAAAGCTCAAGTGACATGAGAAGAGGGGAGAAGAGAAGAGAAGAGAAGAGAAGAGAAGAGAAGAGAAGAGAAGAGGACAGTCGTGATCAGCTGAGAAGAGCTGAGAATGGGAGAGAAGACATGAGATGGGATGAGGTGAGATGCGGTGAAAAAAGCTGAGAAGATTTGAGATGAGTTAAGATAAGATGGGATGACACAGACTGCGGTGACAGTGGGGTGCAATGAGCAATTTCCAAGAGAAGCTGCGACGCGATGAGATCAGATGAAATGAGAAAAGATTCAACATTCGAAAGACATGGCATCAGATTCACAAGTCAAGAGCTTGTTGCTGCGAAGCACAGGAGGCTTGCCTGTCACCTATAGGCACAGCCTTTGCTCCGCTCTATAAGCTATAAGCGTTTCAAATTTGAAACTTCCGCCCCCGGCTTGCCCGGGTACTACTTGTATTATTGTTCTTCTTAGTTTATGACATCATGAGATTGGCAATGTGTCTTTTCTGGGTGTATCTACGGCTCAACTGGGATTTAGCGGGATGTTCAATGGTGCATTTAAAGGAGATATTTAATGCGGATACAACCAACGATATGGATTTTTTTATAGAACGGTGTGAGCTAGAACTTAGAGTGGTTGAGAAAGGTTCCGCTAACACGCATGATTTAAGATTCTTATGGGGATTAGTATGTTAATTTTGAGATTGTAGTTTTAGTTATCGTCAGCAATCTGATATGATGTTCAAGGTGGGCGAGGTCGGACCTTGCATACCGTCCCAAAGTTTCCCACATGTTTGGGTGGTAGGAAATGGCATGAAGCGCCCCAAAACTGGAAGTTTATTATGGCTTTAGCACGTTCATTGATATATGTAAGTATGTGTATACAAATATATAATTATTGTCGATGGGTATTCAGATGATAACGATAGTCATTGATTCTTGGTATGAACTGAACCACCTGTAATTAATTCACAATGTACATGATGCAATGATGTAAACTGATGTAAGATTAACGTTGTAGATGCATTTTTCGCAGTGTCATGGACAAAACCTGTCATTCCCAATTCGCTGTTCCGGCAGGATTCTGTCAATTCCAACCATCAACCAATAGGACAGGACATTGCTCACCTGATGTTGCTCGGGGTCATTAGTTGATTTTGGCTAGCTATCTAGCGCTTTCTCAAGCTTGGGGACCCAAAATCCGCGCAAGTGTCAGTGTCTGGACCCCAACATACCGCATTTGATGCAGGAAATCAATTGCTACCCAGTAGGCATGTCGGTAGTTTTGGCACAGCGGTACTCACACCCACCCTAGCTGCGATCCACGTGCTGGTCAGAAATATGCTGATCACCGTTGTATGGGGTTGGGGCTGCAGTCCGAGAGACAGCAGGGCCACTTCAGCATGGCCTGGCTAGTGGTTTCTCTCTTTGTTGAGACAAAGGCACTCGGAGTGAAAGCTACCGAAAAAGTGTCTTTCGCAAGTCACCCGAGAGGCATCCCGGTGTGAGCAGAGGCTAAAATCCGCCGACCCCTGCCGACAGCATGGAGCGTGTCAGAGAAGAGGGGACGAAGGCAACGGTTGGAGGCTTGAAAGTTGCAATTTGGAGCTGGATTTGTTGTCGGTTGAGAAGCGATGTTAGGCACAGGCAGCCGCAGGCCGAAAGCCTGATCCGGCCCTCCGTGGCATGGTGCTTCGCTGTGGCGAAGGCAACGTTTTCGAGGCTTGAAGGTTGCAATTTGGAACTCGTTTCTTGTCGGTTGAGAATACGACGTTAGGCGAGGCAGCCGCAGGCCGAAGGCCTGGCCTGGTCCGTCCCTCGGTGGCATGGTGTTTCGCTGTGGCGAAGGCAGCGTTTTGGAGGGCTTGAAGGCTGCAATTTGGATGTTTTGTTTGAAGGCTTGCAAAGGTGGATCTGGCTTCTTGTCGGTTCGGAAAGTGACGTTGGGCACAGGCAGCCGCAGGCTGAAAGCCTGGTGTGGCCATGGTGTTTCGCTGTGCCGAAGGCAACATTTTGGAGGCTTGACGGCTGCAATTTGGAGGCTTGAGGGCTGCAAGTTGGAGCTGGTTTCTTGTCGGAAGCCGACGTTTTGGAGGTTTGATGGCTGCAATTTGGAGCTAGGTTTTTGGCTGTTCAGAAAGCAAGGTTGAGCACTTGCAGCCCCAGGCCGAAACCCTTGTTTTTCTTCAGAACCATATAGGATTTCGATGTGGTGAAAGTTTCGATGTGGCGAAGGCAACGTTTTCGAGGCTTGGAGGTTGCAAGTTGGAGCTGGTTTCTTGTCGGTTGATAAAACGACGTTACGCAGAGGCAGCCGCAGGCCGAAGGCCTGGCCTGGTCCGTCCCTCGGTGGCATGGTGCTTCGCTGTGGCGAAGGCAACGTTTTGGAGGCTTAAAAGGGTGCAATTTGGAGCTGCTTTCTTGCAGGTTCAGAAAGCAATGTTAGGCAGAAAGTGAATTTGGCAGCAGAACCGCACGTTGAGAGAAAAATTGCGTAAATGATCATAAAATATCATGAAGAAAGCCCAAATCGACTTTCCCCTGGGTTCGGCGGCGAGGGGCACTGCCGTACGGCATTCTCTCCTCTCCGTAGGAGAGAGGGGGCGTGCCCTGGCTTTCCTCTTTTTTCGCTCTTGTGGCTCCAGATGGGTCAACATGGCTCAACATAAGCCCCAAAATGCGCCGACGCTGCCCCAACATAGCCCCAGATGGCCCAACATGGGCTGCAAGCCGTGCACACATAGCCCCAAGCTGGGCCAACATAGCCCAACATAGCCTGAAGATGGGCCAACATCGAGCCGCCAGCGTGCCAACCGTCAAGATCTCCTACTACAGACCTTGCGGATGGGCCGCCGCCACCACCACCACCACCACCACAACAACAACAACCACAACCACAACCACAACCACAACCACAACCACAACCACCACCACCACCACCACCACCACAACCACCACAACCACAACCACAACCACAACCACAACCACAACCACAACAACAACAACAACAACAACAACAATCAACAATCAACAATCAACAATCAACAATCAACAATCAACAATCAACAATCAACAATCAACAATCAACAATCAACAACCCCCTACAACAACCCAACAACCACACAACCACAACAACAACAAAACCACAAACAACAACAAACAACCACACCACAATGCAACAACAACCACAACAACCAACAACCACAACAACCACAACAACAACAACACCACAACAACCAACAACAACCACATACAACACAACACCACAACACACACCACACAACCACATACCATCCACAACAACGCACACACAACAACCACAAACAATCAACAACCAACAACAACAACAACAGCAACAACAACAACAACAATCCTTTCAACAATCCTTTCAACAATCCTTTCAACAAACCTTTCAACAATCCTTGGCCCTCAATTCTTCTTTATAATCTCTTTATGATCCTTTTCCCTCACGTGGGCCCCTGGCCGGCTGTCGGGCGTAAGCCCTTAAATAAGGTCACCCTACACAATGGACAAACAGAATCAAACAAAGCACATTGGTTTGGTTTGGCATTTCCTGCCGCTGACATTCTACACTCCACCTGTAATCTTGATGAAACTTTTGAGGTGATATATCTTACTCACCACAAAATGGAAGGTGTCAGAGAATAAATCAATGGCATATGTCATAATCTAACACAAGTGGCCCCATTGCCCCATTCCCCATGCCTCTCTTGATGGCCGACTGCAGCATAGATTTCAAGGTTGCCTCCCCCCGGTAGTGCCCTGAACGATACGCCGCCACCGCGCGCCGCGCGTTGCGGCAGCCCTCAGGGTCCCCGCGGCCCCGGCAGCCGTTGCAGCGCCACGTGGGCGGCGCTGGAGGGGCATTGGCCAGGGCGCCTAGCCGGCCACACTTGGGACAGCGAACCTGCACCAACTGTGGCTCCGTGACCCGTACGCCGCGATCCAACTGCCTGGGTACTTGGAGGATCATCCCACGAACCTGGGAAGGAACCATACTTTTTACATCTTTTTACCCAGAGATGGGATAACCCACTTAGGCGACTGATTAACCAGGGTTGGTAACCAGTTCCTAAGTGGGATGATCCTCCCAGCAGGCAGCAGGGGGATATGGAGTTGCCGCAAAAAAATGGGTATATGGCCCATAAAAATATGGCAAGGGTAAATGTTGATTGACCAGTGGATTTTGGGGTCAAAGGATCACTTAGGACGACATTCAGGGATGTGTAGTTCAACCTTTAGGGTTAGCCATTGGATACACACCTTTAGGGTCAATCTTTAGGGGGGGACCGGGGACAGGGGACAGTGGGAACTACTAGAGGTAAGAGACACGACATCAAACACATTGGACTCCATTGGATGCACACCTTTAGGGTTGGGGACAGGGGACAGTGGGAACTACTAGAGGTAAGAGACACGACATCAAACACATTGGACTCCATTGGATACACACCTTTAGGGTTGGGGACAGGGGACAGTGGGAACTACTAGAGGTAAGAGACACGACATCAAACACATTGGACTCCATTGGATACTCACCTTTAGGGTTAATCTTTAGGGGGGGACAGTGGACGGGGGACAGGGGACAGTGGGAACTACTCGAGGTAAGCGACACGACATCAAACACATTGGACTCCATTGGATACACAAGTTTGGATGCATCGATATATCTTTCTATTGATACTGTAGCCATGTATCTCCGACGTTGTCCTAAGCGAGCCAAAACGTAGGCCTAAGCGAGGCACTGACCGGATTTTGGGGGCCTCATACAAACCCATATTCCTGGACGGGTCGACTTCACCATGAGAGCTACTGTAGTGGAAATGAACCAAAACTGTTGGAAATCAAAGGAGCAGAAAAAAGCATCAAGGTATCTCCAAACAGTCACGTGAGTACTCAATAAAAGTTGAAAATGCTACAAGGTAAATGTTGCCACTGTTGTCATCACTTTTGTGCGCTGAGTTGCTCCAAAAAGCTCACGTTGTTCAGCTGCTGGCTGCTTGAGAGCATCACTGCTGCTGCCAGCGTCTCAGCACTGAACCAAGGAGTTGCATGTGGTTTGGCACCGTGATGAAGCACAACGTCAGATCGCGCATCCAGTAGCCTGAGATCCGGATGGATCAAAACCATGACATCCTTTGGCAGAGAAGATAAATCAGCAAGACCTGGCCGCAGTTCAAGGGCCATACTGGCAAAGACTATTAACCAAAGTTTATGCTTTCCAATGCTTGCAGATCACAGATGCTCCCTACCAGATTACTGTAACCAAATCATGCCACCCCTTTTACCCTAGTTTCCTTGGTTTGGCTGCCACCCTGCCTGCTTTGGAAGCATGAAATTGCGTCTTCAGCTCTTTGGCAGTCGCAAACTTCAGTTGACCCACCTTGATATCAATCAAAGTCGCCAGCTCACGTTTGCCCGCCTCGGCTTCTTCAAATGCTGACTGCTGTGTCTCTTTTGGCGTGGCATCTGTCCGTTTTCTGAACCACAGCAGGGGGAAGCGCTGCAGGAATTTCAGCGCAGAGACATCGACATCGACGCAGGTCTTCAGGTGGTCACTGCCATGGCTGTAGCCATCAGTTCCCATGGGAACACTTCGATCCACCCTATCGAATAGAAAGACGGACCTGCGTCAGTTGACTTTCTCTGAAGGCTTGCACGGGTTTGCTAAGAGGATATGCACCATGACGCATTTCGCTGAGGAACTGCTGTAAGGACAAACTTTGCCATCAAACGACTGCAAACTATTTGATCCACAAATTGGGCAAAACTGAAAGACGTGAATTGTTGTTCTCTTTCGAGAAATATTATGTATGTTTGGATTCTGGCTGCCAAGTCGTACCTTGTCGTACCTTCTTCACTGATTTGATCCACTTGAAGTCTATCAAAGGTTGTCACGATCCAAGCACTGATAGTCTCGGCCAAGCCCGGCAGGACATCATATAATATGTGGATGTCCATTCCCATCACCATTTTGAGCCATACCCATGCTGATCCCCGCCCAATGGTGGATCTGCTGCCAGACAAGCGGCCACCGACTTCCGAGCCGTCTGGGGTCGAATTGCTCGCCTGACTTTCTGGCCATCTTCAGCGGGAAAATGATGAACCAGTGGAATCTTGAATGAGGGATACCAATAACCTATGTCAGATCATAGAGCACGAATCTCACCTGCCTCTTTTTAGAAAGTTCAGTGTTCGCCACAGAAGTTCACCCCGCCGCAGGCTCACGACTGTTTGGGGACTTGAGATTGGAGACTGAAGTAGTCAACTGTTTGGTGGCCAATGTTCAATGCAGAGAACCTATAAATTCATGTGGATTGCAGGGTCCGAGCAATCATAAGAAGCACCAAGATTCGAAGATATTCGAAGATTATTTAATCAATTTTCATCAATTTTTCAGTTTTTGCAGTTGGCGAAATCTCCATTTGTTCATCCTTTTCCACAGCTTTCCTTCGATCGAAATCAGAACTCTGGCATCAGCCTCCTCGCACATCTGGTGAGCGTGACCACAGACCACACCAACGCAAGTGCGAGGACGAAAATCACAAGGTGCGCCTAGGTGTGTCTGACAAATACCCTGCTCCTTTTGGGCATCAAATCATAGGGAAAATGATGATCATCTCAGGGCCTGGGGATGCTCACCTCCAAACCACCAAGGCCCAAACCACTACTATTGAAGCGCTTAACCCCTGAAACGTCGACCTCGACTTGATCCAGGTTGGCATTCCTATTTCTGGCATTCCTATGAATCAAACAGGTTGGCATGTATTTTGATTCATTCCTATTTGTGTGTTTTGGCGCCCCGTGTGAAAGTTCAGTGCCGCTGTATCTCAGCGGGGCATCCGAACGCAACGCTCAATGGCTCAACCTTTTATCTTTACACACTCTCTTGGAGGTCGGGGTTCTCCTCACTATGAATCGACCAGTGGGAGAGTTGGAGGTCCAAAATCCCATGGATTTATTACATCACCTATCATCACCTCATCACCGGGCCGCTAAGAGAGGGATCACCAGTGCAGTGACCAAATGAAGGACTACTGAGGAGACGAAGACCGTCAGAATTCGAAGGCCTCGCATCCGGCCGAGACGAAAACCCCCAGAAGTGGCCCGTTCGAACTTGCTCTTTTTGAACCCATCTGAGAATATCCACCATAGATCCAGTCATTTGCCTAGGTATAAACTCACTTTCCAAAACGAAGGGGGCTCTTCCTGTCCTTAACGGCCTAAGACACAATTCATGTAGGGGATGTTTGACTGAGCCATAGCCATGATTCACTGCTCGTGGAAATTATGATAATCCCCGATATGTAAGTATATACATATATATATATGAAGAGTACTATAAGCCGCTTGTTGATCATCAAGGTATCACCATGTTCTTGTGGTTGAAACAGTTAAAAGACCCTAGAAATTATGTTGTTAAATCACCATTAACTCACTATCCCATCATGTCTCAACGGGGGTTGACACCTGATGTCCTGGACCTTCAACTGCAAACGTTCTCAATTTGGCCAGGAGACACAAACCTTTTCTCCGGCCAGCCTTGGAGCAATTGGAAATCCTATGGGCATTGTCATGGGTACCAGAGGATAACCAGAGGATACAGGAAACCCGAATGTTTTTACCAATTAAGATTTAAAACGGAGATGTCTTATAGTTTTCCCTTCAGCCACTTCTGGAAACAATCGAATCATCTGCGAAAATTGGAATGTAACAGAATGTATCATACTTTTTCTGTCTAGAGCCTCCAGGATGTATATATATATATATATTATATATATATAATATTATTATTATGCATTATAATTCTAGCCCCTTCGGGAAGAAACATCCCCATGCCATAGAATAGATCCTGCACTGAGGCAGAATCATAGACGCATATGTGTAGTATCATGTAGTATCATAATATGTCATAACACACCGGCAATATGAGTGTATAGCCCAAAATAAACGCTGAGATGGCCAAGAAAAAATAGGAGACAACCAACTGTGCAGGACATTGTGCAGGAAAGATCACCATCCAATATTCAAAAGGAGGATGTCACACTCTTCACCCACAAATGATTCAGAAACCTGCCAGAAACCAACCTCCCAAATAAACTTGAAAAGTCATCCCACTCGATAATTTGCCTTTCCTTAGGTAATCGAGGGTAATTGCCCTGACTCCCCAAGTGTGATCCCATCTACCCCTGGCTACTGCACCAAGTGGCTGCCTTGGACATGAATCGCCGGCCCTGCTGGGACAGCGCCAGCAGCAGTGGCGACAGCAGCGCCGAGCAGAAGACGCCCCCCACGCCCATCAGCAGCACGTGCTCCGCAATGGCCAACTGCAACAAGGAAGTGAGACGGATCAATGGTTGTTTTTCCTGGGCGTCTTCCTGCTTATTTCTCTGCGGTATGTATTTCCTATGGAATCTATACATAACTTAAAACATCACAATTATCCCCATTTGGAGATTTCCATAAATTGGGGGTAGCCCAAAATGGATGGTTTACAATAGAAAATCCTACAAAAATTGAAGACTTATGTGTCCCCCTATTTCAGGAAACCTCCATTTGAGAGTAGTTCAAAACAGATCTTCAGCTTGCCATGGAGCCAAGCCAGGCGCCATTCCCCCCCCGGGCCTCTTGCGACAAGCCCAAGGTGTCAGGGAGTTTGGGGAAGACCAACGCCGAGACTGCCAGGGCCACCAGAATGGCCCAAACAAGGAAGGCACTCCTGGGCACATTTTGCAGTTGAGCTTGGGGATAATAGGAGTCAGGTCCATGGGGAACAGACATACTCTATACGATTCTATACGTCCATAAGAAGGCTAAGAAGTAAGACTGAGCAAGAATCCATAGTCGAATTTTGAGCCATGCTGAACTGCTCATACGAAAGCTCACATGCCAATTTCAAGCCCTTTTGGGGGTCACTGGACGACATTATGCCACAGGGATTCCAACAATCCGTGCCTACTATTCCCATCTTTCCCAAGCTTCCGGTGTCCCATGTGTCCCAAGCCAAGGTACTTGTAGTGCAATCCCAAAAAGAAGGACGTCCTAAAACCCAGGCGAGGCTTGGGTTCTACCTCGCGTAGATGCGCCAATTCGATGTTGGGTCCCGGATCTGTCTTGGTCAATCTATGATAGTGAAATTGCGATCATCCAGCTGGATTGTGATCCAAACTATTGGAATCTGGTGATCTTTGCGATGTGCCATTCACTGACCAAAGCAATGAATCTTCCAATATCGCCATCCAAACAGCCCATGTCCCGAAATGTCCCGAATATCTGGGGAAACACCCTGAAACATGAACCAACCACTGTACCAGCACAGAGAGATGATCTACCCCCTTTTGCGGCCCCCGCCTGCAAATAGTAGAGGCAATACCACAAGTTCACCTTGCGGCGTCAACGGGGCCATCGGCCCTTCAAGCTAAACTTGTTCAGGTCTGGACACTTGGCTCATAGGTTTGGAAGTTATAAGGAGATCCGGAAGGGTTTTACTGTATTTAGTCATACTTAGTCAGATTGCCCTGATTTAGTTGTTCCCTTCCTTGCTGCCCAAGTATGTTTCGATTCCAGAAACCAGATGAAAGAAGTATATACTCAAGATTACTCAAGTATATAAAGGTATATTAAGGTATTGCAGGTATTGCAGGTGGGCATTCCATGAGGGAAATGATTCATCTTGCAGTGCAACAGCTCCGCTGGTCGAGACACGGCGGCCCCGCAACAGGCAGTGGCCCAAGCAAAGGCGGCCTCACAGCGATGATCCCGGTACCATTGGTACCATGGAACCAGGCAGATGGCGTAAGGATAACGCGACTTTGGAAGGTTTGACCCGTTAGCTGGAGGATTTTTTGCATCCCAGAAGTCATTTGAGTTCCGTGTAATCATAAGGACGATTTTTCCTTCCGTACACAGCCAGTGCGATGCTGCGGTACCTCTAGACTCTAGATCAGAGTGAGTTTGGTTTGCCCGTCAGTCAACTTTTCCACCCTCTTTTGATGTCTTCCATCCTTAAGTTCCAGAAAGAGCTTACGCACGTCCATTCAATCATCCCTCAAAGGGTTGATACAGTACGTGTCAAACTGGTGAACCCAACAATAGGTACCTGCCTGATTCTACCAATTTTGGGACTTTGCATATACGAACCGGAAGACTTTAGATGTTGGGCGACGTTCCTATTGAGACCATCATATTTTGTATCCAATTGTGATTGCCATGATTAATATCTTCCAGTTTTTGCTGGTATAAAATCCATGTTTTTCTGGACGCCTATGCCAAAGTACTATCCAAATTACATTCATAAAACAGAATACATGTGGGTTTCTCCACAAAGAGATAGAGACACGTCAATGTTGGGTTGCTTATAAATACCATAGGTACCTGGAACCCAAGTGACCTCTATTTTGGATGGTGAGCCCTCCATTCTATGGATCCAACATCCAAGAACAGAGGGGGTCAAATGGGTATATACTAGGTATATACAACAAAAAATGATAAATAAGGGGGTAATACTACTGGCTTCTAAATAATCTTACCCAGTGTGGGTTCTATAGATGGAGTAAATATACTGAAATTCAATAGATTGTATATTAATGTATAGCATATAACAACCCAAAAAAGATGCAAAGGTAAACTCCTACTAAAATACTGGCAAATGACGTGTCCATCTTTTTGGTGATTGCTATAGACTAGATAAGGAGTGTATCACAATAATATAGATGAGAATAAATTGCACAACGTTTGCGATGTGGTTGTTTTCAACAATACAATAAATATATATATAATTATATATATTATACTAATATTATATATACACACATATGATTTTGTATGTATGTAAATCAATGTAAATCATACTATATACAGTGGGGAACAGTAATATTGCATTTAACATTGGCAGTTTTTGTCCGTCTATGGAGTCTTCACGCCGAGGAGCGACCGAGAGGAGCAACTGCGCCAGCAGCCAGGTAGCATGACCCAACAAGGTCATTGCACCCAAACCCACCGCGTTGATGTGGATGGCGATTTGTAGATAGACCAGCACCACCTTTCTCAAAATCCCAAAATGAGGAGCTGAAATTGAATTTAATCAAGAAAACTTGGGAGTGTTTGCAACCAAAAATGGGAGATTGAAATTGAAAGGGTCGATCCATAGGTGGAGTTTGAACTCAACGCAAATGGGACCGGAAAAAATGGGCAGTTCTGAGCTGGGTCGGAACGTGCAGAGTTTAAGCAACGAAAATTGGACGCTTTATCCTTTTTTTGCAACCAGACAAAATCCTTGCAGGCAGCTCCTGCAGAAAGTCAAGTCAAAATCAGATCAATCAGATTTCCAAGCCCTAGTGGACATGCGGTCACGGCACTTTGCATGTCTGCGTGGGGTTCAAATGGCTTGGGTGGATGCTAGGAGTTCCGCAGCAAGTTCCGCCTGTCTCTCCCGCTCCATGGCAAATATCGAAGATGCAATCATTCAAAACTGCCACTTCTGCATTTCCCTGATCCACACATCCCAGGTGTTTGGAACATGTCTGTTTGGCTTGATCCTCATCTGCACTACTGCAGCTGGCCAGCAGGGAAAGGTGTGGTTCTTGTATTTCATCCACCCTCTGGAAATATGCAACCGCTTGCGTGCTGCCGCCCAATTCCTGCCATTTGCTAGTGATAACGAAGTCTGAGTCAGTGGACGTCTGCTGCAAGGAGAAACCCACTTTGCGGCCCGGCTTCAGCTGGCCCTGGACGAACTTCACGTCGCTGCTCCGTTTCATGATCATCTGGACATTGAGATGATGCTTGGGCCGGCAACTTAGACTCAATACTGCATGTCGGTCTTGCCATCCTTCGTTTGCATGTTTAAACGAACTTGGTTGTGACCGTTGGGCCCATTCTTCTTGGTCACGATGAAACCACTCACATAATCATTCCCGTCGGGAAGGGCCACGGTTTCTTCGTCTTGGACTGCAGTCCAGTCCACTCAAAGGGGCCCGCCACTGGCAGTCATCTGCTGTGATTTCCAGAAGTTGCCTTTGTGAACCACCTGTTTTGTCCAGCAAGAGCAAGCCCTTGGTGAAGTAAATGATTGGTGCCGTGAGTAGTGTGTATAGACTTCCCAGTCAACAGGAACTTTCTTCAGGGTCGGCCAAGGGAGCTCTGCTTCCACACCGGAGTAGCGCCACAGGGAGGCAACTGAAGGGTGTAGCGCCTCCCATCAAGGGTCTTGATGTGGGGGTCCCCGTCCACACCTGCTGCGTTGGCGCTGGTTGTGGTGGTTGTGGTGGTTGTGGTGGTTGTGCTGGTCACTACCTTCCACACCTGATAACCCGGCCTTGATGTGGACTGGAAACTGGTGGAACTGCAGCAAAAATAGCAAAAGCATTCAAGGGCGACCAAATGACCTGTGTTGACTTCAATCGCCGGCTCGGATTGTGTCGCACAATAGTCATTGCATTTGCTGACAAAATTTTCCTCACCGGGTAGAATGGGGGGGGCTTTACTTCCAACGTTTACACCGCACCAGCACGAGGGTAAACATAGTGGTTCCGGAGAAGAGGACGAGGACGCCCCTGACTCTGTGAGAAGCGAGGCCGGCGACGATGGTGTTTGCAGCAAGCACGACGGCTCCAGCTCCAGCTCGCCCTCACACACTTCAACGGCTGCCACCAACGCAAGGATTGAACATGCGAAAATCATGGATGACATGGAAAAGGAAATACGGGACGATGATTCAGTCAAATCTTGTTTCTTGAGCCAGAAAATCAGTAAAAATGGAGCGCTTTCAGCAACAAAGATGGGGAATTTTAGCCACCAATATGTGTCATGTCAAGCGCGTTACCAGTGGATGCACACATTGGGTCTTGAGGTATCGGGATGTGTTCGGGCTGTACCTGAGCATCCAAGTTGGAGGATCCAAGGGGCAAATTGGCGATCTTTTTCGGTGGGGGTCACATAGTAGAAGCCCATCGTAAAAACACGTGGCACTTCCGTACTGTTTGCTACTCAGTCACATGATCTGGAAATGTCCCACTTTTTTAAGATGCCCATCTAGCCCACAGATGCCAATTTATCGATGACTTTCCCATGAAAACCTCCATGTTTTACATGGAAATGTCCCATTAAAACCTTCATTTACAGTGGATGTTCCCATATTTTCTATGTTGTCCCATGAAAAACCTCCATTTTCCCTGGCTTTTCCCGTGAAAACCTCCATTTTTAATAGGGAAATTCCCCACCTCGGTTGCGCCAGCACATCCCTGGCATAGGAGTTCGATCAAGGCCAGGAACAGCATGCCCAGCAAGATCATGGAGCCACCTCTGGCGCTGGTGGCATCGGCTGGACAAATCACAAGGGAAAATGTGGATGAAAAAAAACTGCACTGCCAAAAGGATGCTTGAAAACCTATAGATATTGGGATAAACCACCTGTCAACTGGTGCAGGAATTCTTCCATCCATTGTGAAAATATGGAAAAATTGTATAGTTTACCCCAATCGATGGCCATTTCATGTCTGGTCTCAAGTGGCCTGTGAAAAGTACAGTACAAGTTACAAGTTCCATCGGACGTGTTTGGACAACATGTCTTTATCGTTGGGACCCAGAATTTGTTTGGAGGAACTGAAAGGGCTTAATAAGTGTGCAGGTTAAGATCCACAGGTTTCTGTAGATTTTCCCTGAAACAAAATGAAGGATCAGGAATGTTTCCTCAGTGATCACAGTCATCGTTCTGAGGCGGGCGCAAATCAAAGCTCCGATATCCGTGCGAATGGTAATGCCATCACCCGATCCCATCCTCAGTGTGAGCGTGTGGTGCCTTTGTTTGTGGCAAACCCCGTAACCCCGCCCAACAAATATGCAAATGCGGTGTTCTTACTTGAAATATACCAATAAATAGATAAAGTGATAAGTCGTGAGTAAGTCAGTGGCTAAGCAATGTATGCATGTATACAAATATATGTACGTATGGATACACACATATACATTATGTGTATGTATATATATATATGTGTGTGTGTGTATCCCTTCCAAACAAAAGTATGGCCCGGGAAATGTCCCACTTTTTGGGCGAAATCTTCGTCCCAGGTGCGTGGCTAAGATCACCACAGATGCAATGATGATGCCAACCTCACAGGATGTCCGAATCTTCAACCACTCAGATTGGCAAAAAAAAACAAGGGGAATCTAGTGGAACAGAGTGGAACAAAAAAAACATGTTGAAAAACATCAAAAATGAATCATATATAGTGAGGGACATTGAATGTTCATGCCTGCCAAAGCAGTGGGCATTTTTAAAAGAATACATTTGCGAGGAACAGCTCTGTTTGGGTTTGTCTGGAAATTTAGGGGAAAATTTCGAAAACCCGTGGTTTATCATCACTTCTACCTACCAAATGGCCAAACATTTCGGACAAACCCGTTCAAAACAAACGTGGAAAATACAAACTGCCCGTGTTGAGAAGAACTGTTTGCCCAGGATCTCGCTTTGCCACTTTCAGCTGGTGATGCCATCGGATTCCAAATCTAATTTTATCGCCCATAACAGAAAACGCCGGATAGTTTCATTTTCATTGATCCCGCATTCCAGTTCATCCGTATCTATACGTACATTGGACCCTGGCACATGCATCTGCAATCATGGGCATACATCTAAGTGTACATTTTATATTTATATTCATCATATATATATATGTGTGTGTGTGTGAAATACGCACATATGTAATCATATGGTATCATATGCATACGCACGTTTAGTCCTCCTGGGCTAGAACATCACCATGCTGCCATCGTGGCACCTCCACTAGCAGACAGAAGGCCAACTCGGGTGTGCACGACCTGCCGTGGGCCGGTCACCGCAGGTAAGGAGATGGGTGGTGATCGTGGCGATGCCTATTGTTAATATGAATGTCTGTATCTCCATTGTCAGCATGTAGACATGATGATTAGTAAACTAGTAGTGATTAGTGTGGTTGTGCGTGACGAAGATGTTGATTGCGGTTACCGGTGGTACCGCACAAGTCGGTGGCGGAAGTTTCAAAGATAGGAAACTATAGGAGACGTGAGTTCTTGTGATGCGTGCGTGGATGGCAGGGTGAATCCACTGATGGACCGAAAGGTGGTTGGAGTTGTGTTTTTTGGAGTGGCTGCCATGGTTGCAGTGGTCACCTCACCCACAACTGCTGGATGTAGTGTGGTGTAGTGTAGTTGTAGTTGTAGTGCAGTGTAGCTGTAGCTGTTGTGCAGTCGTAGTTGTAGCTGTTGTAGTTGTAGTTGTAGTTGTAGTTGTAGCTGTTGTAGTTGTAGTTGTAGTTGTAGTTGTAGTTGTGGTTGTGGTTGTGGTTGTGGTTGTAGTTGTGGTTGTGGTGGTAGTAGTAATAGCAGTAGTAGTAGTTGTTGTTGTTGTTGTTGTTGTAGTTGTTGTTGTTGTAGTTGTTGTTGTTGTTGTAGTAGTTGTTGTTGTTGTTGGTACAAACAAAGACTGGGGCCCTCAAAACTAGCTACCCGAGCTTTATTTTGGGGTCCCGGTGTTTGTTTGTACCTCCTTGTTCTTGTTGTTGTTGTTGTTGTTGTTGTTGGTGGTGGTGGTGGTGGTGGTGGTGTTGCTGTTGCTGTTGCTGTTGCTGTTGCTGTTGCTGTTGCTGTTGTTGCTGTAGCTGTAGCTGTAGCAGTTGTAGCTGTAGCTGTAGCAGTTGTAGCTGTAGCTGTAGCTGTAGTAGTTGTAGTTGTAGTTGTAGTTGTAGTTGTAGTTGTTGTTGTTGTTGTTGTTGTTGTTGTTGTTGTTGTGGTTGTGGTTGTGGTTGTTGTGATTGTGGTTGTGGTTGTGGTTGTGGTTGTGGTTGTGTAGTTGTTGTAGTTGTTGTTGTTGTAGTTGTTGTAGTTGTTGTTGTTGTTGTTGTTGTTGTTGTTGGTGGTGTTGTTGTTGTTGTAGTAGTTGTAGTAGTTGTAGTAGTTGTAGTAGTTGTAGTAGTTGTAATAGTTGTAGTAGTTGTAGTAGTTGTAGTTGTAATTATCGTTGCCGTTGTCGCTGAAATTGTCGTTGTAGTTGTGGTCGTAGCAGTAGGAGTAGCAGTAGCAGTAGCAGTAGCGGCCCCGTCTGCCCAGATGGCTCCGCGCCCGCCGCTTTAGCGAGCCTACTTTTCAAATTTCCGGAGCACCAAATCACTGGCAAAACACAGTGTTTCGCGACTTTTCTACCTTTTCGCGCGCCTGCATCTTCTTTCTTCTGACTCTTTCTCTTCTCTGATCTTCTTTCTTCGTCCCTTCCCTTCTAGGACTCTTCCCACCTCTGCTTGTGTAGTTGCAGTCGCAGTTGTAGTTGTGGGGTGTTGTATGTAGTGTATTTTAGGGCACTGTAGTGTAGCATAGTGTGGTGTGGTCTAGCGTAGTGTGTGTGAAGTACTGTAGTTGTAGTTGTAGCAGTGGTTGTAGCTGTAGTATAGTGTCATTAGTGTAGTGTAGTTGTAGTTGCAGTTGTAGTGTGGTGTGGTGTGGTGTGCCGTAGTGTAGTGTAGTGAGGTGTGGTGTGGCGTGGTGTAGTGTAATTAGTGTAGCGTAGTGTTGTGTAACGCAATGTAGTTGCAGTTGTAGTTGCAGTTGTGGCTGTAGCTGTAGCCGTAATGTAATTAGTGTAGTGTAGTGTAGTGCAGTGCAGTGTAGTGTAGTGTAATGGTGTAGTGTAGTGGTGTAGAGTAGTGTAGTGTGGTGTGGTGTAGTGTGGTGTGGTGTAGTGTAGTGTGGTGTAGCGTAGTGCAGTGCAGTGCAGTGCAGTGCAGCGTAGTGTAGTGTAGCGTTTGTATTTGTATTTGCATTTGCATTTGTATTTGTATTTGTATGTATTTGTATTTGTATTGTAGTTGTAGTTGTAGTTGTAGTTGTAGTTGTAGTTGTAGTTGTAGTTGTAGTAGTGTAGCGTACTGTAGTGTTACCTGCAAGCTTGAAGACGAAACTATTCTGCGAGGCTTCCTCCATTTTCGAAGTTCACAGCGTCAAAAACGCAGCAATTCTGCGAGATCTCCTCAATGTTTGAACTTGACAACGTCAAAAACGAAGGATTTCTGCGAGGCTTCCTCAATTTTCGAGTTGACAACATCAAAAATGAAACAATTCTGCGAGACTTCCTTCAATACTGGAAAGTTGAGTTCAAAGCTGACGGCCTCGTACCAATGCGCTTTGTGATTGTTCCACTCCATCTGTCTAAAGCGCTGCGCCTGCCATGAAAAAGTGATGCCAGGTCATGAAAAAGTGATGCCAGGTCATACGAAGTGCTGCACCCGTCACGCAAAATCATTTTCCCAAAACTGAAGATCCGATGCTCCAAAATGCAACCCATCTCAGGAATCAGCACCCTGAGCTCCTAACATCTCTGATGAACATGTCTCTTGTACAGCGCCTGCCATGCAAAATGTATCTTTGCAGATCCTCTTCAAATGTCCCACGCCTGCCATCGTTTTTGGAAATGCTACAAAGCCCTCACGTCAAAAAGTGGTCCGAACCTGTCAGCTTTTACACTTTTGACTTCGAAATGTGCTTCGCGCCACAACGGCATCCACTTCTGCGACATCTGAACTTCCAAAAGTGCTCCGAACCCGCCAGTTTTTTACACTTTTGACTTCGAAATGTGCTTCGTGCCACAACGGCGTGAACTTTTTCGACATCTCAACTTCCAAAAGCGGTCCGAGGTTGAGGTGCTTTTAACATGTTGACTTCGAAATGTGCTTCGTGCCACAACGGCGTGCAATTTTTCATCTCTCATCCAATCAGATGGCTCCGCGCCCGCCGCTTTTGCGAGCCTACTTTTCGACCCTCTGGAGCCACAAATCATTGGACAAAACACAGTGGCTCGCGACTGTTCTACCTTCTCGCGCACCTGCATCTTCTTTCTTTTGACTCTGACTCTGACTCTGACTCTGACTCTGACTCTGACTCTCTCTCTCTCTCTCTTCTCTGATCTTCTTTCTTCTTCTCTTCTCTTCTCTGACTCTTCCCACCTCTAATTTTCCATCTGTCCATACGGTCGGAAGTTTGACTTCTAAACTTCCTTCGGTTATCATTTCGATGATGAAAGAAGATGATGATGATGATGATGATGATGATGATGATGATGATGATGATGATGATGATGATGATATATCAGACGACGACGATGATGATGATGATGATGATGCTGATGATGATGATGATGACGATGATTATGACAATGATGGTGGTGATACGCTGATGACACGCTGATGACACGCTGATGATACGCTGATGATACGCTGATGATTGCAATAACTATCACCATAGAATGCATGTTCATTGCTAGCGTTATCGTTATCGTGATCGTGATCGTCGTGATCGTGATTGTCGTGATCGTGATCGTCGTGATCGTCGTGATCGTCGTGATCGTCGTGATCGCCGTGATGGTCGTGGTCGTTGTGGTCGTCGTGGTCGTCGTGGTCGTCGTGGTCGTCGTGGTCGTTCTGGTCGTTGTGGTCGTGGACGTCGTGGTCGTCGTGGTGGTCGTGGTGGTCTTGGTGGTCGTGGTCGTGGTCATGGTCGTGGTGGTCGTCGTGTTCGTGTTCGTGTTCGTGGTCGTGGTCGTGGTCGTGGTCGTGGTCGTGGTGGTGATGGTGGTGGTGGTGGTGGTGGTAGTGGTGGTGGTGGTGGTGGTGGTCGTCGTCGTCGTCGTCGGCGTCGTCGTTGTGGTTGTTGTGGTTGTTGTGGTTGTTGTGGTTGTTGTTGTTGTCGTCGTCATCGTCGTTGTTGCTGTTGCTGTTGCCACTATGACTCTGTTTATGATTATAACTGTTCTTGTGATTATGAATGTGAATTTTGCTATTCTGACGATTGATGATTCATGCTCCGCAAGGGCTGGAACCCTCTCACCTGCATCTAGGAATGTGGTACCATAGGCTTATCATCACTTAATCTCATGGTTTAGATCCATCCTCATTTTTGGGGCAAAGCCACGTCCCTGGCCTCGAATTGGTCCTACTGACCCTGGTGTTTCTGGTCATCACTGACATCGCATCCGAGGAGGTGCAATTCTGGCTCCATTCCACTGCCGTGGCCTTGGGACTCGGTGTTTGCCAACAAATCCAAAATAAAATGGGGACTTGGCGAACAAGACTTCATTCTAAAGATGTTATCACGGGGATTTTCGCCACTTTGAGGGATGTTTAACTATTATATTTGGGATATCATGGGATAGGGATATCAGAAACAATATTGGGTGCAGTAGATGGCTTTGTCCATAAATAAGGTAAACGGCCATACCACGGCAAATTTCCTAGCCTTTTGAGAAGATAATGATAAACCAATCAGAAAACGTGGGATTTTTGCGTATCCTATTCTTGGAAAAATCCAAATGAGTCAGAGATCATGGACTTTCTGAGCAGCCATTATTTTAGGATGGAGCAAATATGCAGATATAGGGTACTAATGGTATCTAGTGGTCACACGAAGTTGAGGCTCTTCAAGCTTTATGATTAAACCCTTCAAATTGTCGAAGCCCAATAAACTTTGGGCCCTAGCTTTTTTTTGTCCGAAACTATCCGAACAAATTTCCAGTCCAGCTGTCAAGCTCCAATCATGGAAGAAATCCAGCAGTAGAACCTGTGCGAATTGAACAAATCGTGGTCCACCACAGCAAGCATCATGACTTATGAATACACGTTCTATATCTCTGGGGTGTAATCCCGTACATATCTACAATTTTGTATGGCTCAAACTTGGGCAATCCAGCAAGGTGCATGGTTGAGTACTAGAACTATCAGTTTGGGTTGGCATGGCCTTGCAACATCCGTGTAAATAAGAATATATATCGAGTATACAATGTTATATACATGTATATGTATGTATATGTATGTATATGTATGTATATGTATGCATATGTATGTATATTTATGTATATGTATGTATATGTATGTATATGTATGTGTATGTATGTATGTGTATGTATATGTATGTAAATGTATGTATGTATATGTATATGTATATGTATATGTATATGTATATGTGTATGTGTATGTGTATGTGTATGTGTATGTGTATGTGTATATGTATATGTATGTATGTATGTATGTATGTATGTATGTATGTATGTATGTATGTATGTATGTATGTATGTATGTATGTATGGTATGTATGTATGTATGGTATGTATGGTATGTATAGTATGTATGGTATGTATGGTATGTATGGTATGTATGGTATGTATGGTATGTATGGTATGTATGGTATGTATGGTATGTATGGTATGTATGGTATGTATGGTATGTATGGTATGTATGGTATGTATGGTATGTATGCTATGTATGCTATGTATGCTATGTATGCTATGTATGCTATGTATGCTATGTATGCTATGTATGCTATGTATGCTATGTATGTATGTATGTATGTATGTATGTATGTATGTATGTATGTATGTATGTATGTATGTATGTATGTATGTATGTATGTATGTATGTATGTATGTATGTATGTATGTATGTATGTATGTATGTCTGTCTGCGTGTATGTTTACAATAAAATATTTTATACATACCACCAAAAAAAACATTGAATAGTCATCCTTTTGGGGAATGCCATATTTCGCCAAGCCACCGCAGTGGCTGCAGTGGTTGTCTTCACCACATTTCGCTCAAGGACCTGTGGGGACCCAGGGGTGGGAATGTGCGGAGCCACAAATGAATAAATGGCTGGTCATTTGATCTGAAATAATGTTTCTTGGAAAATACATAGTGTTATGTAGTGTTATGCAATGTTATGTAACGTTATGCAATGTTATGCAATGTTATGCAATGTTATGCAATGGTGTGCAATGGTATGCAATGGTATGCAAAGGTATGCAATGGTATGCAATGCTATGCAATGCTATGTAATGGTGTTTAATGTTATGCAATGGTATGCAAAGGTATGCAATGGTATGCAATGGTATGCAATGTTATGTAATGGTATGCAATGGTATGCAATGGTATGCAATGGTATGCAATGGTATGCAATGGTATGCAATGGTATGCAATGTTATGCAATGGTATGCAATGGTATGCAATGGTATGCAATGGTATGCAATGGTATGCAATGGTATGCAATGGTATGCAATGGTATGCAATGGTATGCAATGTTATGTAATGGTATGCAATGGTATGCAATGGTATGCAATGGTATGCAATGTTATGCAATGGTATGCAATGGTATGCAATGGTATGCAATGGTATGCAATGTTATGTAATGGTGTTTAATGTTTTGCAATGGTATGCAATGTTATGCAATGTTATGCAATGGTATGCAATGTTATGTAATGGTGTTTAATGTTATGCAATGGTATGCAATTGTATGCAATGTTATGTAATGGTGTTTAAGGTTATGCAATGGTATGCAATGTTTTGCAATGTTGTGCAATGGTATGTAATGGTCTGTAATGTTATGCAATGGTATGCAATGTCATGAAATGTTATGCAATGTTACGCAGTGTTATGTAATGTTATGTATTGGGTTCAATGTAATGTTGTTTTATGTAATGTTTTGTAATGTTATGTAGGTAGGTATGTAGGTATGTAGGTATGTAGGTGTGTAGGTATGTAGGTATGTAGGTATTGTGTGTGGGTATGTAGGTATTGTATGTATGTATGTATGTATGTATGTATGTATGTAGGTAGGTAGGTAGGTAGGTAGGTAGGTAAGTAGGTATGTAAGTAGGTAGGTAGGTGTGTATGTACGTATGTACGTATGTAAGTATTTGTATATATATATATACACACACACGTGTACATACTGGTGGAGTTGCAACTGATCAGCGGATTGTTGCCATCCATAATGAGGTCATGAGTCATGTAAGAGTTGTCATTTTTCGAACTCAAAACTCGTATGTTTCACCATTTTGAATCGGTTTGACGAAGCAGAGACTACCTGAAAGTGAAAAAAATGGTGGGACTGGCCAATGCCTTAGCACTGCCTTTGAAACTTTCTGTGATTTCAACTTGAAAATTCTCGGAAGTCAAGTAGTAGGGATCACATATGCCAACGAAACCTGGGTGGTTTCAACCCTGAAAAACCTTCGTCGATCATTCCAAAAGTTGGTTGATTTGCTGGGCACCCGGCTGAAGGATCTGGGTCTGGTGCCACTTGGCTGCTCATGGCATTGAGGTGATGTTCTACAGGATTGGAGTAATGGCAAGGGGTCGGAAGACAGCTCCAAATTACTTTTCACAGCTCCCACTCTTTTGGGGCTCACCTTCTGATCACTGAAGTGTGAAAAACTAAACTATCTTTTTGGAAAGGTGGACTTCTAAATCGTGGTTGTTAGTGGTTGTAATTTTGTGATACCTGGTGACACCATTTTCTGATGTTAAGTGGCTCGTTACTCCCCTCCCTTAGGGAGACTGGAGCGATGAACGCTGGCCGCGGGAAGATACAAATCACACAGTAAAGGTGATACCATTTGGCCCAATGAAGCATCAATGAAAGTCTATTTATTTGATTCGAAGGTCCTTGTATCAGTTACAGCCATTTGTTTCACTACAACTATACTCAACTCATACATGTGTATGTATACATATATCCGCCGACCCCGGCCGACGCAAGGGGGAGCGCGTAAGGGAAGAAGATGTACTGCACTGCTACTATTTTGGTCGCAATTTTGATGCTTTTCCGTCCTGCAGGGCCCTGCTGTTTGAGCGTGGCGGAGGCGCCGTTTCTGAGCTTGGAAATTCCCATCCGGGAGCTGTCTTTTGAACAGAAGGAGTAGCAAGAGCAGGAGCAGCAGCAGCAGCAGCAGAAGGAAAAAGTAGCTAAAAAATCATCCTTTTCTATGGGTTCCAGAAATTACATTAGGGAGTTTTTGGTCGCAATTTTGATGCTTTTCCGTCCTTCAGGGCCCTGCTGTTCGAGCGTGGCGGAGGTGCCGTTTCTGAGCTTGGAAAGCTCGAAGACGGCTACTTTTCTTGTCTTTTGAACAGAAGGAGTAGCAAGAGCAGGGGCAGCAGCAGCAGGAGGAAAAAGTAGCTAAAAAATCATCCTTTTCTATGGGTTTCAGAAATTACATTCGGGAGTTTTTGGTCGCAATTTTGATGCTTTTCCGTCCTTGAGGGCCCTGCTGTTTGAGCGTGGCGGAGGCGCCGTTTCTGAGCTTGGAAATTAGGGAGTTTTTGATCGCAATTTTGCCGCTTTTCCGCCCTTCACTGCCATGGTGTTTTCCCATCCGGGAGCTGTCTTTTGAACAGAAGGAGCAGCAAGAGCAGGAGCAGCAGCAGCAGAAGGAAAAAGTAACTAAAAAATAAAATAATCCTTTTCTATGGGTTTCAGAAGTTACATTAGGCACTTTTTGGTCGCAATTTTGATGCTTTTCCGTCCTTCAGGGCCCTGCTGTTTGAGCGTGGCGGAGGCGCCGTTTCTGAGCTTGGAAATTAGGGAGTTTTTGGTCGCAATTTTGCCGCTTTTCCGTCCTTCACTGCCATGGTGTTTTCCCATCCGGGAGCTGTCTTTTGAACTTTTGAACAGAAGGAGCAGCAAGAGCAGGAGCAGCAGCAGCAGAAGCAGCAGAAGGAAAAAGTAACTAAAAAATAATCCTTTTCTATGGGTTTCAGAAGTTACATTAGGCACTTTTTGGTCGCAATTTTGATGCTTTTCCGTCCTTCAGGGCCCTGCTGTTTGAGCGTGGCGGAGGCGCCGTTTCTGAGCTTGGAAATTCCCATCCGGGAGCTATCTTTTGAACAGGAGTAGCAAGAGCAGGAGCAGCAGCAGCAGCAGAAGGAAAAAGTAACTAAAAAATAATCCTTTTCTATGGGTTTCAGAAGTTACATTAGGCACTTTTTGGTCGCAATTTTGATGCTTTTCCGTCCTTCAGGGCCCTGCTGTTTGAGCGTGGCGGAGGCGCCGTTTCTGAGCTTGGAAATTCCCATCCGGGAGCTATCTTTTGAACAGAAGGAGTAGCAAGAGCAGGAGCATCGGCAGCAGCAGCAGAAGGAAAAAGTAACTAAAAAATAATCCTTTTCTATGGGTTTCAGAAGTTACATTAGGCACT